GAAATATTTGGGTGCGCCAAAAGGAGGTAAAAAGGCTAAATAAACAAACCACATTTCTGTCTAATGTTTGCTTAAACTTTCACGTAAGCTCATAAGTCTGATACCATTTTAATAGCCCGTTAACGGTATCTCGGACTGTTTATTTATTACGCAATTTTTAACACTCATTTTGTACGGTCGTAATGAATGTTTGCTTGTGCTAGCGTCTGACGCATCGGCAATAGACACGGCATTAATACCACCGTAGACAATCTCCCAAACATAGGCCAATTTAAGATTACCGTTCTATGAATAATTACGTATTTTTTGCGCCAATAAGGCCGGTAGTCCTCACGCAACATGACTATTGCTGACCGGAGGCGGGCTAATAGCAGTTATTAGCAAATCGGTCTGAGAAATCGACAACAATGAGCTCAAAACACACTCATTGCTCGGGCCTCATTCGTTACAAGTTTTTTTTCTACCTGACTACTCTTCAGATGTGTGTCAAGATTTTTTTTTCTGTTATTCATTTCTTTTCTAACACCACGTGATCAATGTTAACGAGACCAGCCCTCGAGCTGTATTTCATTAAAGTGAATAAAATTGTCTTCACGCTTTTTTGTACGTAATTGTATATTGTTTGCGCGGTATTCTTATTTCATTTGTTGCCTTTTAACTTGTTCTTTATGTGTAATTACTTATACTTTTAAGTAGTCTATTTAAAGTGTTAATTTTTGTTCCTGTCCATTTGATAATACATAGCGGGATTCAAAGTAACGTACCTTGTTTGTTAGATTATCTAGAAGTAGTAATATTTCTTTTTCGTTGCAAGTATCGAGTAATATGGCTATGCTGTTTTGTTTTTAAAATACTTAATCAATAATAAACTTTTTTCTGTCTGCCTACCATTAGCAAAAGTTCATAATTCTGCCGATTACACGTTTAAATCATAGAATACTAATGTATAGAAATTAATGTAAATGACAAAGAGAGTTTATCGCTATGCTAATATTTAATTCCATTGAAATTTGTTACATTATTTTTTTTTTTACTTGCTTTATAGTTCTAAGCTAAATTGTGCCCAATAAAAGCTTTTAACATTTACAGAGCTGACATTAAGAAAATGGACGAGTAGGTGGTTCGTTAATTAATGTAACGAACATCTCAGACCATAAACATGCGCTTAACGTACCATTAAAACGCACATCCACTCTAGAAGCATTAATGTCTCCTCAGTAGTTTAATAGTTTCGCCTTCCAGCGTATCTTTTCATCGCTTTTAGCGGATTTACTTCGAACGCAAATTTTCTCCTAACCACTCTGTCTTGAAATTGATGAGCGCAACTCTCATCGAATCTGGCACATCGTTGTATTTAAACCAGCCAAACCACCAAAGAAACCCCGCTGCATATTTCTCTGAGACTCGAATCAATGATTCTAAATTATTCTACTATTAGGTCGACAAATTAAGTTAGTTAATTATCAGAGTTAAGACTTCGTAACAATATTTGCTTAAGTGAATGTCTTTTGAAACAGTACGCTCATGGACCGCAAGTAAGCCGACCAAATCTCTGCGAGACTGTCCGCAATCCGATATTGGCGATCGGATTACGAACAGTTACAGCCATTTTGATAATTGTTCAAACAACTCCAATTAAATCCGGGACACCACGTCCGTTTGAAATACCACCGCCGCCGCGTGCAAATATACGCGAACTATTAAATAACGGTCGCCCCACAATGAACGTATCAATTTCAGTTTGTTTTGCCCTAACTACACACCTAATAGATGCTATCTTGCGTCGGTTTTGTTTAATAAATTGAGCCTAACTTATGAACGGGATGTGAGGCGTGTTTTTTGTTCTACGTTGACTGCGAAACCGTATTTATTGAATGCTTCCAGCGACTTAGCGACAGTTGCGTTGCGGCCCCGACAAGTTCGCAAGTTATAAACTCGCAATCCCTCCATGACTTGTTTACTACCTCCTTTTCATTTACGGTGCAATTCTTGAGTGAGAGTAATTTCCTATGTAATTCTGTAAAATCTTGAGTATACAAAGTTTTTTAATATAAAAGGAACCGGCTTAAAAACTCTATAAGCACTAAAAAGTTAAAAATAATACTAAATTTAATATAATTAAATCTTGAATATCTAATCTATACAACCTAACCTACCTAACATCTAACAAAATTTAGGGATTTTTGAAGTCGATGCCAAGCCAAGTATTTCTGATCCAAGCATAAAATCAATCTCCTTTGTTACACAATTTAGGTGGATTAGATAATAAATTAAATTACATGTAACTATTTTTAAACTATTTTTTAGATAACCGCTACTTCTTTAATTTTTTAACGGGGTGTTTTTATGAACAACCATTACCATGGTGTACAAGGACACCGACTCCAAAAATCGGTTCTTTTTTTTTTAAAAAAAAAAGCTTTTTATTCTTAGTGATTTATTTTCAATATTTAGGTTTTATAAAATATTGCTATGGGGGAGGCCTATGTTCAGAAGTGGACTCAAACAAGCTGAAATGATGATGATGAAAATTTGGGTAGACTTAGCAAAGACGCTGCTCGTATGAGGAGAAAACGGCGTCAAACTGAAACCGTAAAAAAAGATTAACACAAATAAAAATCTCACAATCTCAAAATAAAATCTCTAAGAATTTCAAATGTGAGGCCTGTCCAGCATGAAATAGTGAAAAAAGATCTTATATATTACGTAGGTTAAATGACGAAAATAAATAAAATTACAATAATTGTCTTAGTTTAATTCGCACTCGTTTGGCTATAAGTTTAATTACAAAGATTATGAATGGCGTTGGCGAATTGATAACGGTTTAATTTGAATTGCTTTACGAACGTCAAGGAATACTGTTGATAGGAGATTTTTCCGATGGAGTTGCAGTTCGAATTTATCCTACTGTCAGACAAGTAGATGCTTACAATGCACACATGATGGCCGAGAACGCGAAAACAGAGTATTAATTGTGTAAATACGCTGTTTTCCCGTTCTCAGCTATATTGAATACATCTGTAGTATTGTGAGATGTGACGTATACAGATGTGATATTGTGTGATTATCACGGTTGATTTGCTGTCACTTTTGAAGAGTTCCGTTGTCTTTCCCCGAAACTCATCATCAAATCTTTATGATTTTTTTTGCATTTCGGAATAAAACCCTTTAATCTGTCTATACGGACTGTGATCTGTTTATGACGGACATAAATATCTGTCTATGACGGACATACATAAAAAAGCCATATAAACATCCGAATTGGTAACCTCTTCCTTTTTGAAGTCGGTTAAAAATATGGTAATAAGATTATTGATTTACTTCTTCCCTTCTTCTCTTAACCCATAATCATCATCATCCTCCTGTCCTTATCGCAACCAGATCGGATCGGCATAACAAGTGAATCGTTTTGTAAGTGTTATTGATTAGGTTTTCTAAGTTAGGTTTTATAGGTCTGACCATCAAAGTTTTGAACTTTTGCCCAAGCTTTTGTCGAATTTTGCAAGGCTAAATAAGCCTAAGTCGAAATTTTCAAGTACGCGACTGGCAAGATGGAGTTGCATATAACTATCAGTTTCAAAATTTTTCTTCACATACTAAATATGACTACTAAATGTTTCTCTTGTTGCTTCAACTAACTTCTTTCTTTATAGCGCACCTCTGATTGTCTTAAAGACCTTAAAACTGATAAGTAATGTAATTGATAGTAAAGTTTCTTAATTCGAATTACGTTATTAATAAACACACTGACACTACAGAGAAACATCTGATATAATCAATTGTGCGAAACACTTCGCTTATACACCCATGTCATAGAAGATCAGCGTTAAGTAGAAGTATATTCGTTTCGTCTAGCAGATGAGGTAACGCGAGCGCATTGAAAACTCATCTGGAACCCTTCATGTTATTTTATTCAGGTTGTTATAAAAGTCTATCGGCGGCGGTAATCACTTAGCATGTCTTGACCCGAACGCCTCTGCTCGCTTGTCAATTTTTGTCTCTAAGAATAAATATTTTTTCTTGTGCCGTGAGCCAGTTTCATGGTTGCATTTACAACCTATGTATTGAGTCTTGCATCCGAAAGCAGTCAGTAATATTTTTGGCATCGTAATAACATGAGCGATTTCTGTTTGCAGCCGACAACACAAGAAAGGTTTGCGGAGGCAGAGGGCGACAGTGGGGAGGTGCTGGAATTTCTGCGAGGCATGACCACCGATCTGTTACATCGGTTTTCGTAGCCGTACGTTGACAACAATAATGTTTCAATGGCAATTATACTCGAAGGTCTCGAAGATGATACGCTATGGAAAAACAAGCCTTATTTTTACTCTTATATTATATGGTTTCTCTCCGTGTAAAAAATATAGCTGAACTTTTTCTCGTGTATTTTGTAAATATTTTAAATGATCGTTAGCTAAGAAGAAGTGCTTAAACACATGTGATGGTACGTACAGTTAGAAAACACGCGTTATACTTTTTTAAACAGCTTAAGAATAACTGAAAACGGTCTTCCGGTAACTAGATATGGGGATCACTAAAATTTTATATTTCTTATCTAGCAATTGAGAACGCTTGAGGAGCTGGTAACTGAACTTGGCTGTACATATTTTTTTAATATTTGTTAAACGATTGTTATGTATGACAAGCAAACACGGGGAGAATTTTCGGTGTACATAATATATTATAATATTAATGAAGCCTTATATTGTTGTCGTTTTGTAATATTATTTACGATAGCGTGCTAGATAAAAGGGACTATACAAAAAAAATCCCTAATACGTCCACAGTAACAGTTAAAACCAATTTAGTAGGCGTGCGTCGCGAAAAACGCATCGCTGTCCACGGAGTTTTAGAATTCTACGCACAATGAGCGATAAATTATTAGATGTCGGCCATTATTGTCAAAGTGACATCATATTTGTTTAAGTCGCGGGCGGGAGAGCGCGGGCCACCTGCGCTCGCGAGCCTCATTAGCAAACAATGATCTGACTAGTTGACTACGCCACCGAGCCTATAGCTCGCGAACAGCGAACGCCACTCGCGGCGAATTCGCGTTCGCCCTCACGCTCGCCGCCGCGGGCGACACATCCATAATCCCGTGACGTGTACCCCGACGGGCGCGCTCGGTCGCTTTTTACGCGCGCGTTTTTGCCGCCATTTTTTCCGGCCGGTCGTTGACCCCGCGCCGTTTGCGAAGCGCTATCCTAACATATAATTACACGTACAACCGACCGCTTAATTACCCGAAACCGCTGCGACGGCGACCGTCAGGTCGGGGACACGGAATCCGATCAAAAAAAAAAAACACCGAATCCGACTCCGCTCTCAAATCACGCTTCGTTACCCTCAGACTCGGCTCTTAATAGCGCGCGCTGCGTAGGATTGTGAAACGTCGTGGCAGCTCGTCTCTCTAATTTTGAAAACTTCTTGCCAGATAAACATGTCAACTGTACAAAATTATTCTCCCTTCGTACATAAATAATTTCACGGCGCGAGAAAGTAACATCGGAATACATCGTTAATTTCTTTTTGTAACTAGTCAATAAAAACAACTCGTAAGTTTACCTTTATAAACAATGTGATACTTTTGGCTTCTTTATGAATAATTTTTATTAGTCAAAAATGAATGCTGATGGAAGTGCTATATCAAATTTTAATGAATTTCTAATATCAAGAGAGCGCATTCTTTAAGCGTGATACAGATTTTTTGTATAGAAATATATTTTTCTTACAAAAATAAAAAAACGCGCAAAGATATTTTAATCGAGTAATTAGCCTAGTATATGGATTAAGTGTTGTTAACGTGTTAGTTATTAATTAAAATAAAATAAAATAGTTGTTTTCAACTTTATGTCCGATTGAATTTAATTTGAAAAACAAACCAAACAATATCGATCAAACCACTGGGCTTTAATTGTTACACAAAACCTACCAAATACCACTTTTATTTTGATTTTTTGTGTCTTTAGAGCAACACATCACACTAAATTTGTGCCTTTCTCTATCAATAAAGTACTTATTGAATACAATCCTCCGCTGATGAAACACGCAAACAACTTATATGTATATGTGTTAGTAACTACAATGTTATTTATAATTTTATTGACAGACTGATGTCGATATTGCGTGAATGATAAACGTACATCACAACTTCTAGAATAAGTTTTGTACTTTAGTATTATATAATTTTGTCATCTGCGGAAGTCTCCGTACAGGATTTTCGTCTGTTTTTTCTCCTTTTCAACTCAAACATAATAATATACCACTTCATTCACTGACTACTGTGTATTACCTCGACGGATTGAAGGGTTGCCGGGTATGATCTTAATATTCGCCTACGTAATTTTTATGTGTGCTCGAATACATTGATACATTTCTTTACGGCATTTCAGCGCAGCAAAGTTGCTATTTTCATATTAGCAGAAATACGAATTCGTTCTTTTTTAATAGGCGAAATAAGTCCAATACATCGGGTCCCACTGACTGTTTCTATTACGACGATATTTGGACCATTATATGTGATATCGTAAGTTAGGTTGATATGATGTAAGTATTTAAGTCATATTGTCGATATGATGTATGTCTCATTCCTCCATATTCTTTTGTTAATAAATAATTAACCGAACGTAAGTTTACACATGTGCAAACTGCAAAGGATAGCTTATCAGTGTTTAGGTGATAATAATAATTAAGCTTGAGTGTACTCAGCACAGTATCGAACCTTCATCTTTCGCTCCAACTCCTAGAATATCGAAATGGACCACTTGGTAGAGAATCGCTTTGCATTTATTCTAAAACACAATGTGGTCATGTACCCACTATAATTTAAAGTTGAAATCTAATATTTGCTTAACGGTATACGGAGAACCGTTCAGATAGTTTCAAAAGAATAAAAACGCCTCGTTTCACCCATATTAATGTCCCCGCCGAATAATAGGATGGCAATGATTCCTTGATTTTGCAAGAAAGTCCTGTACGGTTTATTCAGCTTTATCTTCCAACTATTTTAGTCCCGTAACCATGTGGCTGAAGGGGTAGTATTTTAAGTCGATGTGAACATATTGCCTTGGCTTCTGTAATAAATAGCTTCAAAAAATTACGATTAATTAAGTACGGTGGGCTCAATAGTACTACTTTAAAAATTTATATCTTACAATACACAATAAGTATCAACATAAAATATAAAAAACAATGATTATTTAAATCAATACATTTATAGAATGGCACTAAAAAGAAAGTAAGGTAATAATCCAATACACAAAAAAATATATAATGCCCCATATTTGGTCACTTAATTATTTTGAATCTCTCTCTACGGGTAATGCGTGGTCACTTCACTTTGGATTATTTTTTTTTTTCGCTTTTATAAAGAGCCATTTGCAGGAATATTTTATTTGAACCGCTGCATATAAAATAACTTAATAAATTGAGTTATTCCAGCATTACTCGGAGAAGCCTTTTAACTACCGACACAAATTACAACCGACTAGTTAAACTCTAAAGCGTGTATTGCACTTACTCTTTTTTTACGCGATATATACTGAATATAATAACTATTTTTATTACAGAGAAAGTGTAAAAAATTCGATTATGTAATTATTAAATATATGGTTTAAGGTGAACACCAATTGTAAAACTTTAAAATGTACCTATTCATTTCAGTTTTGTCACAACTGGGGTACATTAGGTCTTTTCAATATTTGTTACACGATTTGTATATTTAATATGCAAAATAAATGAGTACATTTAATGACAGAAAATTGTATTCTTCACGTGTTTTATTCCCTTCTCTGTAAAAATAAATGGAACTTTATTATACAGACTGAGAAGACCTTAAAGATAAAATTAAAAAGTAAAGTAACAGCCTATACATGTACCACTGTTGGGAAAAAGTCTCCTATGTACACGTGGCCCGACTGCGGTTTGGCGAACTTCACATATTTTCGAAATAGTAAAGTAAAGTAAAGTATCAGCCTATAAATGTCCCACTACTGGGAAAAGGCCTCCTCTGTACAGAGGGCATCAGGGCATAGTCCATCGCGGCCACAATGCGGATTTGTGGACTTCACATATTTTCGAAATATTTGTTTTTTGTTATTATTTCGAAAATATGCAGGTTTCCTCACGATGTTCTCCTTCACCGAGCACGTGATAAGTCAGCTCTTAAAATTAAGAATTCCATTAATGCTGGCACCGGGGGTCGTACTCAGGTTGCTCGAGTAAATAGAATTAAAGGCGAGCGCCCGGACACCGAGCTATCACAGCTCGTAAAGATAACAAAAACATTTTGTAGTGATTGTTCACGGAATATTTTTTACATAGAACTAAAGTATGCATAGGGGGACCCTATGCATACTTTAACCGGGAGTCTTTGGCCACACCCTGAAGATAACTAGGAAACAGGCAGCTTCTGTAGCATGAATGTGAAGTACCACGACATCACAGAAGACCAGCGTGGAGTGAAAGCTTATAGTTTCTGTGTATATCAGGCGTTGTAAATATCCATGGTTGGCCGTAATCACTTAACATCAGGTAAGCAAAGAAAAGAAAAGTTCCTCTTTTTGCCAAAAAGGATACCTACCACATACCGCAGAACTGCACATGAGATGAGTAATTATAAACATATCTTAAGGCTCTTTCCGTAATCACTTAACATCAGGTGAGTTTCAGGGATAGATAGGAGCGAAACTGATGGTAAGTTCGGGTTCTCAGTGATATCCGACCAACAGAGTCCAAACTTTACAAATATATACGAGTAACATTTATTACTTAAAGAACGAGCACGCCTACGTTCATCATATCGCGCGACGTCCACAGCCAAATCATTCCAACAATCAATGTACCCATCTATTGTGGCCACTAGACATATTTTCATCAAACACCTCAACGTCCAAACGTCAAATTGGTAGGTGGTTTTGCAGCGTCACGGTTCGCCAAACTATACGTCGCGGGGCGTGTGTTCATTACTTTATTTCTTGCAGATAGCATCTTGACGGACGCGGGCGGCGCTTCATTACAGGTGGTATGTTTTTCTCTAATGGACGGGCCCAATATCTGATATCGGTGCCGTGGCGACGCGCACGCCTGGACGGACTTGGACCCGTCGAAACCGATACACGAAACGGAGATAACAGTATTCGCACACCAGCCATCCGCTGTCGATTTTTTCTCATCTCCCATTGATAAAAAAGCCCCCGCGCGGCCCGAACTTATTACGGCGAGCAAATTGGACACGGCGTGGTAATTGCTACGTGCGATATTCAGTCAGTAATTACTCGGGTTCGAGGAGTGGTTAATTGACAGGTGAGGAGAGCGTCGCGCGGCTGACCCAGTGAAGCCACTCGTCAGCACTTGACGATCTAAGGCTGACGTGCAGTGCACTTATCGGGACACGGTTACCTTAAGTGCATCGCTTGAATCGGCGCGATGGGTTTACCAGTGCGGGCGGAAAATTTTCGGGACTAGTTAATAGACGCGCTAATAGACTGCTGTGAATTTTAATAAATATTTCAGGACATATTTTTAGTGTTATGGGTAATTGATAAACATACTTAAAAACCTGGCCACACATGCGTTTATGTCTCTCAGTATATTATATCGTTGTTAATGTTTTTTAAAACATTTTCTCCATAAATCACGCACTTTTGAACGCTTTGCGGAATGTTTTATGGCTAGATATTCCTTTAATATATAATACGTGTTTAAAATATATATAAAAGTAACAGGCTATATCAGGCGATGAGACGCAAAAAAATCCTGTCTTCGCCGTGGCAGTTGGGGACACTTGCCGCCGACCACAAGCCGCATCAAGCGTGCAGTATCTCGCCACGGTCACAGATGGAAAATGCCTACATAACAGAACGGAAACAATAACATTGCTACACGCGAAATCGTTTGCGAATGCAAATCCGTTACTTACTTGCCGATCTGAACTAGTGAGCCAGATATCGATTTTAGAAAGTCGATTTAAAGCCCCGACGATGATGATGAAACGTGATATTTTTTTCTTTCAGAACAAAAGCAACCGACATGACGTGCGGAAGATGGAAATAACACGGCGAATTTGGTTCGTGGCTAAACTTAAGGCTACCTAGTACACGGTTTACACGGTTATACCAAATTAGGAATAGAACTGTCGAAATAAGTGTTTCATAAAATATCCAAAACGTTTAAAATAAACGCATTTCATTATTCAAACATTTATAAGTTGTTCCTCAAGTGCAATAATTTTTAAACCTTACTACCATTACTGTCCAGTAATGATCTTAAGTGTATCTTTATCGTTGGTCATATTTTTATCGAAAAATAATAAAATAACGCTTAGAGTCACTCCTCAGGTGGTCACTAGAATTTTAAAAAACTGGCCATAAAATTCGAGATTTTCATCAAATTAATGTTCTTGAAGATTGTAAGTTTTAAAATACAACATCCTTCGAATAAATGATTGTCCTATACCGCAATACCGCATATGACATGCGGTATTAATAATCCCTTCAAGTTCTTTTTATAAGTTTATTTTTAACTTTATATTGATTTTGAAAGCCGTAAAACACCACAATATAAGCAAATTATATGCACAGAAAGCTTTCTTACTTCCTTTGCCTACTAACACACTAAAAAGAGAAATGTCGGAAGCAAGATTTTGCATCAGTCATGCCATATTAATAAAATACATTTTACAAAAAGAGCACAGATAACATCTTAAACGATATATTATTAAAAGTTTAACGATCAATTACAATCAAGATACAAGTGCACGAAAATAAAACTTTATCTACTCGTTGGTTCTATTTGAATAATTGTTCATAGCATCATAGCATTTAGGTAGTTTAATGTTTTTATGGTTAGTAATTCACTGTTTTTTAAAAAGCGTTTATTAAATACGTTTTAAAATACAGTGTGATACATTTATTATAAAGATATAGTAAGGAAATTAACATATATTTTTAAAAACCTTCGAGACGTCGCAGATCTTAAGCTATTATTATATATATACAAGGCACTATGCCAATCTATTATTACGTACTGTATCGCAACATGGGGAGGTGCAGCAAAGACATATATGTTAGGCTTAGAAAGGGCACAAAGAAGTGTTCTAAAAGTTCTTGCCAGCCTCCCATTTAAATATCCATCGCATGCTTTGTACCAGAGATGTAGAGTACTAACTGTACGCCAACTGTTTTACAAATGCGTTTTACTAAGATACCATAGGGAAATAGTACCGACGTTACCTATCTCCTATAAAAGACGAAATAACTGTCCGATAGCAAAAACGCGCACAGAATTCGCTAGACGTCATTATAATGTGATAGGCCCACGCATATACAACAAACTAATACGAGATTTTGAAGTCATACGTAAGTTTAATATTTACAGAATGAAAAATTATATAACTAGTTTCATGAATGAACTAAATTATGATGCTACAGAAAATATTTTAGAAACCATGAAGTAACACGAACGCACACACACACACGTACGCACGCACGCACGCACGCACGCACGCACGCACGCACACACACGCACACGCACGCACGCACGCACGCACGCACTCACACACACACACACACACACACACACACACACACACACACACACACACACACACACACACACACACACACTTTATTATTTTAGAACTCCTTAAATAAGATCTCATTTGAAATAGAATATGGCAGTGAAATTTTGGATTACATGTAAAAATGTGAAGGGCACTGACTTCTGTAACACAGGGTAACCTAGCACAGGAGTCAGAGTTCAAAATATCGTACCTTACCTCAATTTTATAAATGTGATTAATATAAGTGTTTTCTTTTTGTATTGGTTGCATGAATAAATTATTATTATTATTATTATTATTATTATTATATAAGCTAATAAATATTACCTTAGAAAAATCTATCGACAAATTAAATACATAATTAAATAATATTTTAGTCTTTGAACGAAAAACAAAACCGAATATGTGATATTTCTTCTAGTTGCGTTAGAAATAAAAATCAAAACCGGAAACTAAGTAGTTGAATATAAATTTGATAAAACTGAATTAAATATAATAAATACACAGCTACAAAAATGTATTTTTCTTTTAATCTATTTTTCTATAATCTATTTTTTATAATAGAACCACTATTATAAAACACTGTACAACGGCGGAAAATGCTGCCTTGAATATCAATTTACTTTATAACCATAGTTTGAACGTTTCACTGCAATTGAAACGAAATGGAAAGCTTTGTATAAAGAAACAACCATTACCAGCCTAAGGGTAGAGCTCAAGAAAGTTTCGAAATATGCAACAAGATATTTTCTATGAAAATATTTAAAATGGAATATTTCATTAATAAACAATCCTTATCAAAATCCTTTGTTATTGTAAACCGATGTTGAAGTATTATGTCATAGAAGTTTCTTTCTTTTGTTCTATTAGAAAATATTCTATTTCAAGTACTGAATATAAACGAAATTAATTAAAAACGAGGCTGAGGCGAAGGAATTTCCCACGAGCGATAGGACTCAGGATTCATTTCGTGGACTATACCTTACCACCAATGCAAATTTCTTTATAATCCGGCAACGCATTTCATCGAATTTCCATGAGCACTTGAGTTCACATAAACCGTTACTTAGTCTTTTGCCTCCTTTTCCACAGAAAAGTTATAAAAAAATTAATCGTCCTTTGAAAAGTTTAATCAATCGTATGTTAATTATCTATAATAATTAAATCCGTCGGCTACAACATGCAATCTTTGAAATAAATTATTAAAATTTGCCCACTTTATTAAAAGAGGGCAACGCATCTGCAAACCAAAGGATGTTGTAAATGTTTACGGGAGGCGATTATATCGCTTGCCATCGTACATTAAAAAAAACTCGTTATTAATATAACGAAGCTATGTAACTAACGGCCGTTCGTTGAATATAGGAACTGGGCAACAATAAGTACCTATTTGGTAAAACAAAAGATTTATTGTCTAAGAGAACACATTACGGCTCTAGACGTTAATTAGCACTTTTTATCCAAGTTAATAGGATTCTTCAGTGTCGATAACTCGAGGCGATTCAACTGATTAGAACATTTAAATATGGGTAACACATTCAACTTCAAGTAACGGTAACTTGGATGTTACAAGCCGTTCGCTAAATAATCTTATACTTATCTCAATCAATTTTTTCGTGTGATCAATCCTGTATTTATTATCTTACAGAAAAAAAAATTCATATCCCATAGCCGCGTTATTCTATCTACATCGAATATAATACTCTATTGGAAAACACATCTAAGGACAACCGCATTTCTAATTGTAATGCTCAAAACTATTACACAGGAACAAAACAACAAAATAATAAGTGCTCACATTTCTCTGACTGGCTCCTGGCTTTATAAATCGCCCATATAATTCAACTTAACGTAAACGATCCGACGTCGATATGTCCCGATAAATAATGAACGATCATTCCCATCGCTTTATTTAGAAGCGGCCAAACGCCGAGTTGCAAAACCACCGCGATAATCTGCCGCAACACCAATTGCCCGGAGTCTTCGAAGATATTACGTAAACAATAGCGGGGGAAATCGTGATCCTCATCGAGGCAGCCCCCAGGTGCCAGATGTGAGCTTAGCGCCGATAAGTGAACCTCCCACTATATTGGAATTCTCTAACATCACGAGCTTAGCCTGACAATATGCTCCCATTGAGCCGAGGCATCTCTGTAAGTGCGCGGCGGTGTTGACGGATGCTCGAGTTATCGGGACTAAACCGCTGCGGGTTCCGAGTAAATCGTCCAGTCGTGACTCGGCCATTTAATCATAAGCATCCGGGCTAATTAGAGTGGGTCGCGGACTTCGGCGACCAGTAATGAAAATCACAAATGAACCTCGTTGCCCTGGAAAATTGCACTATACGTTCACCACTACGTTATATTTGCAGACCGGCAGTATAACGTGTGTTAAGTTTGAAATTTTGTTTCGTCGTCGTTTTATGGGCTCATTCACATTGATTTTTTTTTATGTGCAAGAGTGGCTAACGAGCTGACGGTTCACCTGATGTTAAGTGATGACCACTGCGCATGAACAGCTGCAACACACGTAGGGTTGCAAATGCGTTGCCACCTTTTAAAAAAGTGGGCCACGGCTACCTCACTCGAATATTTTTTTTATAATTTTGTTTTTTTTTTGATAATTGTCATATTGAATGAAAAGCCCGATTAACGAATTGGTTAGTTTTCACCGTGGGAACAAAACACAACCTCCATAGGTACGACTAATTTTTTACGTGAGAAAAACGAAAATCAAAAATGAAAATCATTAGTGCATATATATTCGAGCCCAAGCCCTACGATAGAAACTTACAACTCGCTTGGCAAAGAAATCGTGACCTTAAAACTTTATTGAAAATTCTATTAAATTTAAATTATACCTGAATCAAGTTATATTTAAAGACATAAGTAAAATAAGTTCATGGCGACTTTTTATTATTAATGGATAAACTGACTGTATGAATTACGCTACATCTAATTTCCTAGTTATATGTAGAGTAATCTATAGTCATACTAACTGCATTTAAATATTTCATTATTTTATATGTATACTTTTTGTGGAACTTGTATACCTTTATGTACGTAATACTAGTCATGACATCACCATCATACAACAATAAGTCCATTTAGTCGACTGCTGAACATAGGACTCCCCTGCAGACGCACATGGAGCACGCTCCTTGATTTATACCTTGACTTTTCAGGTACAAAAATGTGGCAAAAAATATTGACCTGGTAAAAATTTATATCATTAAATCAAAGTCACAAAAACAGTACAATATAATCCCACTTTAAAGTTACGTAAGTAAATACGTTAAGTAAGGCTACGTGTCATTCAGCAAGACCATAAGCACTAGATTAAAGGATCCCAGATAACGGTACGCAGAAACTAACAGCTCAATTGTGGTCAGGACATCAATCAATTTGATGGCATCGTAATAAGACGCAGTCTATAGCGCAGCATGTGTCTGCTCTTTTATTCTTTACACCTTAACTTTTGATATTATAAGACAGCATATTGGTCCAATTTTTTCCAAAACAAAGAACTATTTATTTATAAAAAAATATTCTTTATTAATACACTTAAGAAAAAAATGATCTCACAAATTTCTGCCATCGAAAATGCCTATGACACCAAAGAGTTTATTTTTCTACCCTATCATTCAATGATTTTAATAATAATAATAAACTTTATTATAATTTTAAGAACACATGTACATCTTTTCTTTGATAACTTCAAAATATTGTGATTCATTTTGTTTTGCTAAAGAAAACATTGATTGAAGAAAACAAAACTACCTAATTACACAATAGTTACAAAGTGACACATCCTCATGGCAGTAAAATTATAGCAAGATCAGACAGCAATTAATCCAAAGTTCTATTACCATTAGTGACAAGTACATTTTGTGCAGTACTAAGAGTTTTGTTACGTAATTGTCATGTTTTTGTTTATATAGTTTAAATATATTAAAGTTAACTATTTCAGAAAAACATCAAACAGAAGAACCTTTCTTTTATCTCAAATATGTCAATGAATATATATGAGAAGCTCATTATCTGAACATTTCAAAACCTTTAATACAATGTTAAATTGCTCGTATTTTCGTTCGTTAACGATAATAAAAACCAAATTTATTCAAAACACTAAAACGGCCCACATTAAACATTTCATTACACAATCGAAGTGCCGGTACTTGTAGATAAAACACTTCGATAAAGATATTAGACATTCTTATTTCGACGTATAATGCTAAACGTATCGACAATAAATTAATGTGAGCGGCGATCAAATGGTCATCAATAAATTATCTGCAACGAGAAGGCTCATGTTATTTATGACACGGCTGGTAATCGATTGGGTTACGAAATATTACAGTAATCTCATTTTAGAACGCTCAACCATTGCAATAGATCGATGCAACGCTATCAAAAGGGCTCAATACAAAATAACTATAGGGAATCCTAGGGTACGCGCGATCTTTGCCATCTCATACAGGAAGTCAAGTTGTCGAACCGGAATCAGAGAGTATTCACTTTTTACAAGCAACTTGCCATTTAAAGTGCCCACACTACATTGACCCGTGTTGTGCATACATTATCTTCATGGCGACCTGTACAATGAGGTGGGCATTACAGGTACTAATCAGTATCGCTAAACATCATCACAGATGAGCTTAATCCTCTTGCCGCTATTGCTGGCGGTCAATCTTAAGCGAACGTATCTACATGCATAGTACCTATGTATTAAAACATAATAGCGACAGCAGTTCCACGGTTAGGTCCACGATTAGCATGCAGATACATACATAAATCTCTTATCTCGCGATCGAATATAGACAACTGCAGATGTAACGCTTCCGAGCCGTATTGAATTCGGTACCAACAAGCAAACTCTCGAAGCTGCTCCACCTTCGTGTGGTTCCCAAATGATTGCGATCTGACTGCGTGTACCGAACACGGCATGGCAACTTGAAATATCACGGCGCATTGCTCTTTCGCGCTATCATTTTGTATTGCTAGCTGCTATCACTTGCAATATTTATTGCCCGGAAATTTATAATTTTCGCATATCAATATTTAACTACATGAAACTAAAGCATTATAATAAATAAATGGAAATTCAGATTTGTACCTTGCCTAGTTACCAACATTTTTTTCTTATTAGATTCGCTCTAGTACTTATAATAAACTTTATACAAAATTAAACATTAATATTATAGAGTTTATGACAAAAACTGAACGAAATATTTATAGCTTTGTTATAAACTTCGACCTGTTTTAATTAGCGCCTACAATAAATAGGATATAAAAATAACCATATCGAATAGCAATTGCTAATAAAATGACAGGCGCTATGCATTAATTATAGTAAATAATACCATAATTAGTAGTCTTAGGCGGGAGTGAATAAAGTTATAGTTAAACCAAAATCATAAGCAAGCAAACGCAATATATAATATTGTATAAATACTAGCGGACCGGACAGTTGTCCTGTACACAACACTTAAATCCGACAATTTATGAATTAAAAATTTTGGAATCTGAAACATTCTCGAATCGACCCGACGACACACAAAAAATTTCATTAAAATCGTTCTAAAGCTGTTTAGAAGGGGTTCAATTAGGCAAAATACAAATTATATTTAAGCCAATTGGACGAAACCACCAAAATGTTTGAAATTCTTATTGTAGTTTTACGGTTCATAGTCGAGATTAAACCTAACTTATGATGCTAAATAAAGCAAATTTAATTTATGCTAAAATGAGGAAATGTTAAGGATATCGCTCCCACAAAGCGTGACACAGGGCGGGGAGAGGGGGTACCTGTGGAATGGGACACATAACGGTAACATTAGCGTTTATCGTGTACTTGGTAGATACATAGGGCTCGACATGTCTACCAGGCAAGCATAACCACGAAGCAGGGTCAAATCGATTCACGTGGGAAGCCAAGCAGCAGCGATGATCACATAAGTTATCTCGAATGATATCAATTGCTGAATTGATAACGGTTTTAATATAATTGTAATCACGAAGAGCTATAGCTTTTTCTACTCGAGTGCCATGCGTTTATTTTCGACGCATGAGTTATTTAACTACGTTAACGTTAATATTATATTTTAGGTCTAAATATTATACTTGACGCATATCCATAAACTATTAGTCGCTACATGTAGCTTGTATAATTTATTTTATAATATGCTTTCAGTAGATACTATATTGCATACTATGTTGATTGCAGACCGCATTCAACATAGTATGATCTTGTAAGATATGAAATTAACAAAAGAAAGTCAAAAATTTGATAAACTAAAAAATGTTTCAAAACTTATAAATTACAACAGTTTACAACAAAAACATTAACGCCCGGTTTCAATATTCTATCTACAGATAGATTTAGTTACAGGAGATAGAATTTTGCCGTAAGTACTATGGAGCTAATGACAAATACCTATCGCTAGTGACCAAATCTATCTGTATATAGAATAATGAAACTGGGCGTACACTGCATAATGGCTTATGAGGTTCATCGAATCATGACCTTCACAAACTGTGCCAAAGACCATAGAGCAAGTAATGCATGGCAAAATAGCATGGGGCATGTGTTGATGTCGGCGCCAAAGTATGGGTTGTTAAGTAGTCGGAATGGCGGGTCAAAAAAAGTTGCCGGAGGATATTAGCTTTGAACTCCATTGGCAGAAAGGACAGGTGTAATGTAATAATTAATTACAACATTAATTGTAGCTTTCATACCTTTTAATTAAGCAAATATTAAGAAATAATCTTGTCATCTTGTTGCAGCGCCCTCTGGTGAGTTGTCACCGTAACACCTATCTAAGAACATGCACCAATCAAACCCGAACCCACTACTAAAAACTGCATCAAAATCGGACTAGTAGTTTTGGAGAAAAATGGCAACATAGATTTGCACAAACAAACATCCTCTCACCCCCAAACGCATATACCGTCTCCGTTCCGTCGCAGGTAAAAATGGTAAGAAATAATCAAGTAAAAAGAAAGAGAAAATACGCCATGTATTTTTATATTTTTCTTATATGATGATAAAGTTTCCACTGTCATTTCTTTCCTGCTACAAGTGCTTAGAGTTGTCGAAGACTGCCTTATCGGTAGCTTGATGCGATAAGGACTGTGAAAACCAACAGGGAATCAACTCAGTAAGTACGCCAGCAGTTTTGATAAATTATCGGACGTAAAGACTTTTGCCTATAAAAAAATTTTTTGAAACCCTTAAAATGTTGTACTTTTTAAAATAAAGGATTAAACATTAATCTTAATGGATAAAAAATTAATCCTTCAAACTGATTGAGTATGTTACGTACACTTTTCAACATATTCCGTGTTCTATTTTAATATATAAAAGGGTTTATCCATATGTCTTATATAGGTACCTATCTTTACATTACATTTTCCGCTTAATCAAACTTAATATGGACGTTTTGTTCTTTCAATTTATAAAGGAACAATAAATAACAAAATTCAAATAAGATATTGTAAGATTAAGAGATTTCTACAAACCAAAAAAGTTGAAATAGTCAAATAATCATCGGTTCAAACCAAAAAATGGGAATACAACTCAAAATTAAATTAAATGTCATGTTTGGATTGCCATTTAACATCAGATCAAATTGAAATATCTTTATTCAATATAGAAGCATTACACTTACTTCACTTACTTATTGATTGTCAAAACACTACCACCGGCATATAAGTCTACATTACAAAGAAAACCCCAAATATTATTAGAAGACCACAAAAATAAACGGAGACAGATAGATATCCGTTCTGTAATATATAATACAAGCGTATACATAACAATAATATAGCATAAAAGCTTTGAATGAAGATATGTTATTTACTAACATTATGTTTTTAGTATAAGTTGCTTTTCAATTTTAACATTTGCAGCTTCGTAAAGTTTGTTTCCTGAGTTTGCAGAAAAGTTAATTTTTCTACTAACTTCCTTGATCCAATGTCCTTGTGTGTCAATTTAGTTATAAATATGGTCTCCACGGACTCTCATGTCAAACGAGTGCCGGCCACGTTTCCCGCCATGCTCCGTGAACGACGTCCGACGACTCTTATTTCCATACAAATTCTGTGACAAAGATGTCTGCTGCACTGTGATGTACTCCTGGGTACGACTCTAGTAATAAAGTATAAGTAGCCAAAAGCCTACTCAATTGTGAAGAACGCTACTCGTAAAAACCAGCAGCACTCTAGGGAAGTACATGCAGTTTCCTCAGCACAACCTACATTAAAAAAGCAATTGCATGCTTCCATACGCTACCTGAAGCAGCACATAATGGCATTGACAACCAATGCTGTTATCCTGTTCTTCAACAACCATCACACATTACCTATATGCTTTGGTTCTTACTTTATGCTTACACTTATACTCAGTGGCGGATTTGCCCTAAGACCCAATAGGCCCGGACCTAGGGCGGCCAATCGTGACAAAAATTCACTGATGATAACAAGACATATGATGGACGCTGAGGAAGGGGCGGCTGGAACTTCAACGGTGGTAGGGCCACGCAGCAGTCTCGGCTGTTGCACGAATGGACAGGCTCGTTTGGGTAAGTACCACAACCTCACAGAAGACCGGCGTAAGTGGAGGTATAATACTTTCGTGTTTCGTCTGCCTGGTGAGTGAGATGGCCGGAGCCCAATTTTAAAAAGGTTGTCAACGAATCTGCAACCCTCGGGCTTAGCAGATGTCTATGAGCGGCGGTATTCAGTTCACTTAACATCAGGTGAACTGTCTGGTCGCTTGGCAACTTTTAACATAAAAAAACTTACTACATGGGCTGGGGCCTAGGGTTGCCAAAACTACAAATCCGCCACTGCTTATACTTTATGCTCATTTATTTATTACTTTATGCTCTGGACACATTTTAGATTTAACTGTAGAAACCTGTCACTTTTAAGCTAGCCAATCGCATCTTTTCTCTACGATTCCCTTGTAGACCTTTGGCACAAAAGCATGACAAAAATAATTGACATGAAATTTATCAGCGTTTATCTACCTAACCTAAAATAAGATTTCACAAAAATATTAAGTAATAATTGTTAAAAAAAAGTACTTTAGAAATCGCTCACTCGATCAAAGATACAATTTGAACAAAATCAATCGAGGAATCCTTGTTTACTTGCGTCTGACGTCACCGTAGTTGTCACAAAGCTCTCCCGTCGCAGATAAAATGTTTATATTTAACAAATAAAAAATGTACATACCTAATTTAGTTTTAAATAAAGGAAAAGTTGTGTAAATAAAATGTAGATGTTTCCTTTTGGCTTTTATATGTGAGATGTTTTCAATATTGCGAAATAAGCTACTTATATGGATATGGAAATAAATGCTGTGTATTGTTGCTTCATTCACGCTTTCTATATTTGAACAAAGCAGTTTTTGTATAACTTTTAATGTCTTTTTAACTCGTCTTATCAATTATATTAAAATTATCCTTGAACGCAACTCAAACTCATTTTGCTCACTGTTGCTGCCCCTACTATCTATATACGTCATTGACATGGCTGTGACAAAAATGGTGCCCTTAAACCAGCTGGCACTAATTTTGTTATAATACAAAACCTGTAATTTCGTATAACAAAAGTAAGCCAGTATGGCAAATGTATTGGATTTAATTAAACGTTATCAGCATACCATAGAAAAATACCCAAACGATGAACAGAAAGTAAGTTCATTTTTTGTTTAATTTTAATTCTAAATAAATTCATAAGTACCATAGTCCCTATCATACCTCAAGGAAAATGTTTTAAAGGATAAAATTTCTAAATTTTACCAGCAACATTTTTAACATTAGCTTTAAAAAAACATCTCACGAGCATCCTATATTCGCCACATAGATTGAATTTGTCTTAGTTCCGAAACAAAATTATTCTGCGATGAACTATTTTAACTTTTCTTTAAACAAAGGAATGATTTTGATTAATATGTACGTATAATGCTTATAAATTAATTATTATCTGTACCATATACATTAAAATTCAAATACATCAATAGAAAAGATTTCTTTCTTCTCTAAAAACCTTGTGTTTTCAATACATTGACATTAAGCCGTTTTTAAACGTGGTTTTAGCAATTGTTCAATTACTTTGAATATTTTATTTCTTGTTTGTTAAAGGAATATTTAGAAACTCTAAACATACACTGTACATGTTCCTCTAAAACTATTTAGGCCTTTCATCAATTTTTCTACATAATAATAGCAATATTTAATAAATCTTAATATTTAGTATTTGTAAAAACTTTTTTAGATTTTGAAGTGCATTGACAAGCTTTATCATCTGGATGTAACAGTACAGCATCTGCAAGAGACAGGTGTAGGACGGACAGTAAATGCTTTACGCAAAGAGCCTGGAGATGTTGGGCAAGTTTCCCGGGCCCTTGTCTACAAATGGAAGGTGATGGTTGCAGCAGAAGAAAGTGATCAAGAGGGTGACCACAGAAATGACAGTGAGCACTTAAAATAAACTGTTATTTATAATGTGTTAAAGAAATGTATGCTTTGTTTTTACCAATAATTGTACCTATTCTTTTGGCTTATGAATAAAACATTTCATTTTAAAAATAGAAAGCCTTATTTTGCTTCTTAGACTGCAATACTTAATATTGTCTTATAATTTTGGGACAGATATCAAATCTTAATTGATATCTCCCCATTATTTGTACAATTTAAACACACATTATTTGTTATGCACATTGTCTTTTACTATTATTTTATAATGTTATATCTTATACAGGCAAAATAAAACATTTTGGTAATTTTTCATATACTTATTTACATTATTTTGTTTGTTGCTATTGTAAATTAGCTGCAATGGCATAAACTTTCTTCTAACTCAGACTCTTGACATTATAATATATTTTTATCTAATACTATTTGTAGTCTAGTAGATATGAAAATATTAAGAGCATGTTCTAATGTGAGTTTTCATTTTCTTACATATAAATAGGAAGATACAGTAAATATGTTAGTCCGATTTGTCAAATTGGAATACAGATATCTAACTTCTGCAATATTCTATCCAGATAAAGATGGCCACATTGCAGATTAAAGAGAATTCCTTAAAAAAAATTATATTCCAAAATTAAGATTTTTTAGTCTGAACTATGAAACAAGCGTTTTTAATTCAAAATATTTTGAAATCAAATTAACTGCACTCAAAAAAAATATGTGAAGTCATTTTAGACTTTTAATGCAATACAAAATCAAAAAAGATACAAAAAAACCATAAATTTGTGGTTAAGTCTAAAACTTTGGTTTACATTAATGTTAAAGATTGTGTATTCTTGCTATTTCCATATATTCATGATTCGTTCAATGCATTGTACAATTCAGAGGAAATCTCCCAAGGTGTTTATAATCTTTGCATGTGTTAACTGTTGAATGTTTATAGTATATTTAGGTTGGCTTACTATACTATTTCAATTCACCTTGGGTCAGAAGATTGATTTTAATTATAAGCAATTTATTTATATCAGCTTCAAACTACAATGGCCATGTAAGTGAACGTGATAGTGAAGAAAATCTGCCCAAGTCTAAAAGTAAATATGAGCAACATGAGAAATCAACAAATTCCAGCAAGTCTTCGAGAGATGATAAAAAACATAAGCATATGAATGGTGATCATACTGGAAGTAAAAGAAAATATCAAAGTAGTGAGGTTTGTTTAAAAATATAACTATTATTGTTAGAAATTTGCTTCATAAAAAAAATTGCTGATATTTAATTTATTACCTAACTTTTAACAGGAAGAGGAACCAGAAACAAAAAAGTTTAAACATTCGAGTAGTGGTGATGATAGATATAAAAGAAAACATATCAAACATGAACCAAATGAAAGTGAGAGTGATTCACAAGACACTGATGTGTCACAAACTGAAGTCAGTGAATCAGAAATGTCTCAAAGTTCAGAAGAAAACAAGAAACCAAAACATAAGATAAAAGAAGAAAAAATGGAACAAAATAAATCGTCGTCTCCAAAGCAATCTACACATAACAGTCATAGAAACCATTTAAGTGATTCTGCTGCAGAAAGATCGCATGTTCCTTCTGAAAAACATTCAAAACATCGGTCTGAACCGAAAAAATCTGAGAAGGCGTCGTCATCCGAAAAATTAGGCAGTTCAAAGAAACATTCAAGTTCAAATGATATAGAAAACAGTTCTAACAGAAAACATGAATCAAATCATAAGTCTAAAGAAAAAGAAAAGAAATCAGATGAATCCCTTAATAAGCATAGTAGTAGTTCAAAAAGGGAAAGTTCAAATAATTTAGACAAGCATAAGCATTATTCTGAGAAACATAAGGGTACATCAGAAAAACACAACAGTTCAAATGAAAAAAAAGAACAAGAAAGTCATATAACATCAACTCATAAAGATTCATCAAGTTCTAAGCATAAGTCACGAGAAAGTAGTAGCAGGAAACACAGCAGTTCCTCAAGTAAAGAGAAATCAAAAGAAAAACATTCTACAATTAAAGATATATCACAAAGTCATAAATCTGAAAAGAAACATTCTAGTGACAGTAGTAGATGTAAAAGTAAAGATAAACATGAGAAAGAAATAAAACGTGAAAAAACTGAAGATGTAAAAAAGAAACATTCAAGTTCTTCATCAAAAACTAGTAAATCCAGCTCAAGTAAAGCAAAGGATGATGCACCAAAGAAAAAACCACAAATAAGTAATAGTGAAGATAGTGATGATGGAATTGACTGTGGATCAGGTATGTATTCCTAAGTATTACTTATTATTTAATATACACCCTCTTAATACCTTTATAATATTTAGTGTTTATTTCATAAGTTTTACTCTTATTTATTAGACTTAATTTCATTTATATTCATGAAGTACAATAACTATAAGTAACCAGCCCATTCGTGTAGCAGAAAAGACTGTTGCATGGCCCTACCACAGTTAATTATATTTTTTTAGACAATGTTATAAAAAATATATCATAACAAAAACTTATATCCAAAAAAACTGTGTAAATTTTTTTTTTTTTTAATTTCTTTTGACATGCACTGATTTCTTGTAGAATGATATCTTTAATAACACATTTTTAATTTTTTCTGTAAAACCGATTTATTTATTCTTTTTACATTTCAGGTGCAAGTTTTGCCGAAGCACTAGGAATGATTAGTCCAGTTAAACCTAAAAAGAAATCTATATCAACTAAAGATATCCATTCACCAAATTCACTTTCCGATGTAAGTTATGAAACCACCTAACATTAATATATAACAGTTTTATAACAAAATCAAGTTAAGTATCATTTAATATAACAGACTAACAAATAATAGTTAGTTTTCAGATTGCTTGAATCACTTATAATATTTTATTATATATGAAACATTTTATTTAATTATAGAAGCCATATATTAGTAAATAGACTTAATGTACATAGTTTTAGTATTATTACCCATAATAACTTTATATAACAACATACAACAAGAGTGTGTGTAGAGTCACGCAACAGCTTCTGCTGTTGCACAATGGGGCAGGCTCGGCCGGGAAGTACCACAGCCTAACAGAAGACCGGCGTGAAATGGAAGTAATAAACTTTCGCGTTCCGTCTGGTGAGTGAGGTAACTGGGCCCAAATTTTCAAAGGTTGGCAATACATCAAGCAAGTCATAGGATGTTATAGAGGCCAATGGCCGCTGGTATTCATTTAACATCTCGCTTGAAAACTGTTCACATACAAAGAAAGAAAAATTCGTAGATGTAATGTACTTTTTTATCGTAATGGCGTAGGCCAAGATTACTATCCATTCATCACATTGCATATTAAATAGCAATAACATGACAGCATATCAATTCAAACATGCTGGCCATATGTCGTAAGGATTTTCTTAAAGGATTAATGTGAAAAGTTAAAAATTTGTTGGTGCATGGCGCCAGCATAGACAGCCGCGATCTTTAAATCAAAATTACTACCATATGTTCTAATTGGCCATCTACAACAGTAATTATTTTTTTTGTTATACGAATATATTACGTTGTCATTGCCGGACTTATATGGCCCCGAAACACATTCATTATTGAAACCACAAAATATTATAAATATAACTGTGTATATGTTGCGAATGATAACAAAAAAACCGATAGCCAATACAAGTTGGCTGGTATAAAATTATTATTGACATAATTATCACGTAATTTCACTATATTATCGACATTTATTAAAGTAAAAAATGACTTGTTATGAGCCATCTCAACGCCGGTTCGGGTTATTTGCACAGTTGTATTCACACCTTTGAACACTATTCTTGCATACAATTTCCAGCTAAGCCCAGCGTCTCTACTAGCACCGACAGCGAAACTTGCACCTTTACCAGCCCTGGAAATATCCGCATTGCCAGAAATCTCACCGAACTACAAACCGAGACCTCCGCCAAAGCTCCTACCACATTTCACTGATGAGGATGCCATGAACCACGTAATATCTTCCAAAAATCAAAGGTATCAGTAATATGTTAAATTACCACATGGTTAACTTAATGTATACAGCGTGTCTTTACCATCGCGACAATAAATGAACCCACATATAGAGGATAACTTTTTAAAATTGTATTAAAGATTTACATTCTTTAAACAATATTTAACGAGTTATCAAATTTTCCGAAACAAAGAATTTTAGAACAACCCTTACATATAAAACTTTAATTTAAAGTTCCTTTGTAAAGGTCACGAAGCATATGAATGGGTTGAATGAATTTAAAAGAGACAAAACATACTGTTAGAAGGAGAGGCTTGTAATGCGACGATATGGCGCGAGTTGTATAGGATGTTACAAATTTTGTTTCTTTTTTGCTTAATTAGTTTGTTTGAAAATTTTTTTTTTAATTATGGATTTTGTTTAACGTTAATATTTTTTTATGATTATTGGCAAGTAGCGTTAGACGTGTGTTCATTTATTGTCGCGATGGTAACGACACGCTGTATACAAAACTATAAAATAATTCATTAATCATATTAATAATTAATTTTTAGTTAGACAAATTTATAGTTATATCCTGCTATTGTTATGGGTCTATCGATATGTGACATTTTAATGGATCAACATTAATTTTCATTTCTAGGACAAAAGTTTACTCTGGCAATAAAGTTTTGGGCAAAATACCGACCTTATATGAGATGTGCGTTCAGATACTTCAGGAACATATTGACGGTAGGTGTTTTATTAACTTTTTAAAAAACTACTTGCGGATATTAGCTGTATGATTTTTGTGAAAACAGTAAATAAATCTATACACAAATAATAGAAAATCGCTGGGTAATGGATGTAATACTCTTGAAAAGGGATTTGGTTGCGCAGTAATAATTTCCTCCACTTTGCCATTTCTTCCTCAAGTTTTTTTTTTTTTTTCATTCAATAAAATAAATAAAACTACAAGCAATAATTATATATTCTACTATAAAGTAATTCCCATTTTACTTTTGTTTTTAACTCTTTTATTTTAATAATTTGCATAATCATATAAATCCATAACTTTTTGAAAACTTAACACTTATAATTTAATCATATACCTGATTAGATTAATAAAAAAATATAACGATCTGTTTTGTTTACGCGAATTCTACACATTGTATTAAACTAAATAAGGGATACATAATTTGGTTTTTATTCCCGACATTACGACGACACTTCAAGATTCCATGAACTATCTGTTAAATTAGTTTTACTTAACAAAAAATTATTACCTGACTATGGGGAATTAAGGAGGGTTATCAGATAAACCTGTATATATATATATATATATATATATATATACATGTATAAATGTATGCTAATCCCTATTTCCTCATAACTCCTTAACGGCTCATAAATGATAAGTTCTTATATTCGCATTTAATTGCGATATTTAAATTGTAAAAAATAAGGTCACAGACTTTTGGCAGCAAAATGTAATTTTTTTTAAATATTCATGTCACATGCACGTTTTTTAGTTATTTTGGTTTTAATTGTTTTTATCTATACTTTACATTTTGTAACTTCGTAGCTCTTGAATTCACTGGCGGTGTGCCATACGAGATATTGAAGCCAGTCGTGGACAAAGCAACGCCTCAGCAACTGTTTATGCTTGAGCACTACAACCCGTACTTAATGGACGATACAGATCACTTGTGGCAGAAATTTTGTGAGAAACACTTCCGCAATAAACAGAGACAGGAGATGGAGACGTGGAGGGAAATGTATATGGTAATTAATTTTTATTTATTAATGACCAATCTACTTGCTCGATTTTCTGAAGCGCTCTTTGAATATTATTATTTTCTGGCAACTTGAAGTCAACTATTAAAGTGTTAGTAATGTTTCGTTTGTGTTAAATTCGTGTTTCAAATGGAATTTTATAGAACGATGTAGTATGCCGGCGAAGTAATTGTTATTTGATTTAAATAACAAACAACTGAAGTAACAAAATTGTTACATACAGAATTTCAGTGGCGTTTTAGCATAGAACAGTTATTCAAATTTTACGTTTTCTAAACGAGAGGGTTGTGGCATGGGCGTAACAAAGGAAAAATCTGCTGAATTTTTATAAAATATTAGATTGTCTTTATCATTTATGTTTATTAGTTCATGCTATCACATCGAGTCACATCTTTTGTTGTCTACATCGTAATTCAAATATAAAGTAGGTTCCATTATATTAATGTTAAAGTTAACCTTTGAAACCTTTTTTAACCTGCCACTGAATTGATAGTTTATCTACTCGACCACAATATTTATGCTTCTATTAATAAAATAATATTTTTCTTTTGCAGAGATGCCAAGAGGAACAGGAGCACCGATTGAAATCGCTGACCGCAAACATAAAAATAGCTCAGGAGGCAAAGAAGGCGCCTATTAAACAGACCAAAATGGCGTATGTTGACACTGTAGTAAAGCCGCCGCGAAACATAGCCAGGAAACAAGTGAGTACCGCTATTATAATACCAGTTTTTTTTTAATGTGAAAATCTGGCAAACAAGCTGCATGCCCATTTGAGCAATCAGCTACCATAGAGTTTTATGTTATTTAAATAGTAAAACTCGATAGCTCTTAATTTAAAACCATGCGGTACATCAACTCATTTGATCACCTACAAAATCGCTGCCCTATTAATATGTAAGATATGCCATACAACATTCTTGTTATTAAGAACTTTGTATGGCATATCTTACATAATAATTATTGTACCTATGGCATACAACATGTCTTTTCGATTCGCATTTAGTAATTGATTTTAAACCATAGAAATTAGAAGATTTAACCATAGCTACAGATCGCACTAAATTAAACACGTATTTAAAAAAATACACCACGCTTTTAAAGTAACTAAAAATGTATTTGTTTGATCCTTGCCTTAAAAAATAAATTCACATAACAATATAATGTTATCCAGACCGCCGCAACCGCATCCGGTTGGTCATACCACGAAAACCATACGACAATCAAGACATTCATTACTGCAGCACATAAAATTAATAATACAACAATAATAAAGCAATTAATCCAGGGCCCATTTATATAACAGCTCCTTTAAAGACGCGACACTTTTATATTAATAAACTTACTGAATCTTCGATTATTTTATAGCTCACTTTTCGGGCGCTCGATTTTACTCAATATACTCGAGTAACTTGAGTTCAAATCCCGGTGCCGGCACCAATAAAATGTTTAAATATTGATTTACCACGGAAGGAAAACATCGTGAGGAAAACTGTATATTTTCGAAATAACACCACAATAATATTTGAATATTGTGAAATCTACCAATCAGCGGTGTGGTAGAGTAGTGGACTATTCCGTAATACTCTCTGTAATGAAAGCCTTTGATCGAAAATATTTGGATATATTGTATAGACAATCTTTACTTATAATAATAATAATAATAATAATAAAATGTCTTTATTCACATAGACGCGTTCTTTTGAAACGTCGAAATTTTACAAGGAAATTAATATGTTCGTAAGTTACCATAATCTTTAGTTATGTTTCGAATCACAGGCATTACATGGGACGTATATAATGGCTTACTCCTAAGCAATGGTTCTTCGAGTAAAGCATGAGCAGAATTCTGGAACACCGTCTTTGTCTAACAATGAGATGTGAGACGATTGAGATAAGAGAGATACTAGAATATAATTATGATCATACTTTCGTAAACTGAAAATGTTAAACCCTGAGACAATTAAGAAGACAATCCAGTTTGTTTAAAAAATCTTGGGACTGACTATTCCGGGTAGCACCCATCAGCATAATTGATAATTGAAAGGAAGGAAATGTTCTAAGTGATAGTGGCAGTAACTTTACGACTTATAGTCTCAGTAACTTCATTCTCCAGTTCAAGGTATTGTATCAACAATACCTTCAGATCTTGATTTTTACTACGTTGGTAAATGGGATAATTGGAAATTGTTAGAGGAGGCATACCGAACTTAGGGACATATTATTAGCAAAATATATATAAGTTATTTTAACTGTAGTTTCGGGATATGTAGGCTATATAAATAAAATAAAATAAAAATGGGATAATAATGTTATTGTAACATTTAGGAGGTGTTAGTATCATCAATTTTTGCTAACATGCTAGAACCAACAACAAGGATCGTTTGGCATGTCAAACGATCGACCGAATCTCTACGATTTGTAGACCAATTCCAAACTTTATCCAGGTTTTGGTTTATTTTTACTCTAGTGTCGTGAAGGTGTTCATTACCAGCTTGCACATATAATCGGTGGTCTTCGAAATACAAATGGTATTAAAATTAATATGAGGTGTAAGAAAGTTGATAAAGAAAGAAAACATTATGGGAGTGTAAATTTACATAGGCATATTTGACTTGAACGTCTTGACGCTGTGCCGTGATAATACAGGGAGGCTTTTCTAAGTGTATCCATATTTTTTTATTAAATTAGAGACATAAATAATGTTATATAAAAATGATAAATATTTAAAATCACTCGTTAATAATTAATTAAATTCATTTGAACTTATCTCAAAAAGTGTGTGATTTATGCCCAACTCATTTATTTTACGCGCGATCATTCATATCTAACACGCACACAAGTTCGTTTCAAAAGTATACAACGCATTTATGAATGACTACCGCATTGTCAACAAGTTTTTTTTTTTTTTTTTGAAAAATCCCAAGGGAGCTTAAAAAATGCTAAAAAAACATCACCTGATTAATGGATGGCCCCTATTCAAACTTTAAACAAAAACCGTATGTTTTGTTTGGTAACAGGCGCTGCACGGGACGGCGCACGCGTCGTCCGCCAGCCCAGCCGCCAGGGTGGCGTCGCTCTCCTCGGCGCCCAACGTGCTCCGCGGCGGATCCGTTCGCCCGCCGCCCGCCGCACCGGTCTCCGCGGCCGCCTTCAACAAGCCGAAGAAAGCGCCCCTGATGCAAAAGGCGCTCCAGTTCATGCGCGGACGCAAGCGATGATGGCAACACTTACCGTTTTACTTTACTCCTAGCCTAACGGTTCATATCTAGATCTTAATAAGTTAGTGTACCCCGTTTGTTAGTGTAAAATGATTTCGGATCATCACAAGTTTGACGAATCTACATTTGCCACTGTATATAGACATGGCAAGAACAACAGGTTGATAGTGGTGAAAAAACATTCGTCTATATGTCGATATGTGGACCAGCAAATCATTCATTGTTAAGTGTTTTAATTCCATTATCTGCTGTTGATTTTTAATGCACCAGAAAGTTTTGTTTTATAGCTAATATAATTGTGACTAGACTCTATTTATGTTACGCTAGTGATAATTAGAAGAATGAACTGTTTGAGAATATAACATAAATCATTAGGAAAACTTGAACAAAGGAAAATTCAATTCTAATATAAATTAAAATCGGATTAATTAGCCAAAGTTCCATGCTAATAAAATCATATTTTATTACAGTAACCCACTACAAGAATAGGTGAATTATAGGGCCTACAGAATCTAAAGCATCTGAAGTTAGTCCAATTTGTTACGGCAATGGACAGTTCATAGGTAGTTTTAACTCCGGGAGCTAACTTCACTCGCCCAGAGATTGATGACTAAAATATGTTAAAAAATTTTAAACTACCTTTGCCTCCAATATTTGAACGCCGTGTAGATACTGATACCCTTACAAGGTTTAAGAAATAAAGGCTCATTGTTATTTAGTAGGTCTTAATTGTTTAGTGTGAATACGTAGTACCTACACTATCACTGATAATGTACCCACAATCAGTAAATAATATCAAAAATAATGAGATATTTAAATGTTTTTGATATTCATGTATTTCACTTGTAGTTGGAAAAATAGGACACCATAGAAATAAAACCAAAAGTAAATATATGTGTTGGTGAAAAATTTATAGTACTAAATTATTTTCAATAGACCTATTCTAGCACCATGCATTTGGCATAGGAATAATGTAGTTTGTGGCTATGCTAGTTGAGCTACGAGTTAAGGCCAGGTAAAGTTACTAAAAAGATAAATAAGGAATGAATTTATTTCACGACAACATTAACTTTCTAGGTTAATATTGTACATAATTTGAACTTTTAGAAAATTTTTTGTTCCTGTACTCACCAAAAAAGGATGTACAGCACTTTAATTATACTTTAGGACAATTATGATTCAGTGAAAATTTTAATTTCTTTGTAGGAAAACTATAACGTAATATATAAACAATCGATTATATTTACATTTCACCGAAATAAGAGCCTGCACCTATCATTATGTTATTTAAATAAAATAACACATGACTTGTTTTGTTTTCCTGTGATAGTTAAAATAAAAATAACATGTAATGTAGTTGTAGATATATTTTTATACAATTTAAATGATATATAGTTTGAAAGTACAAGGTATTTATGCTAATAAAATGATTTTCTTAAATTCAGTCTGATACATATATAACAAACACAATATTACAATTCATATTATATATTTGCATTTCTTGTTATAAAAAAACAACAGGTTAGAAAGAAGCTATGTTTTAATATTTTAACTTGTTAAAGTGTAGGGAGTATAGTTAAAATATTAAAATGATTATAACACTGAATATAATAAACACACAATGCATTTTTTCTGTTACTATGTTTATTGATATTAAGAAAAATTACATTGTATACCATTTACTTTTTAAAAATTTTACATTGTGATCTACTTTTATCTATCTTCATCCTCTTAAAGAAAACCAAAATTAAAAATATGTGTGGGAATGAAACTATTTGATTTATTTAGACTTATGATCACAAAGTTATTCTTATTTAAAAATTACCCTTTATTAATTCATTTTATAAAATGCTTATATTACATATGCAATTCAACATGGATTAAAGAGTTAAAAATATATGATTTGTGAAGTACTTACATTGCATGAACATATCTTATAAGCTTATCAACATAATTACAGCATGGTGGTATTGTTTCTTCATTTCACATACAAAGCTCAAGTATATCAGAATAATTATATTTGTTTCCATGTCATGTTTCTCTATCATAAATAAATTAAATAATTGTGACATAATTATGATAAATAATTTTGACAAAAAAAATAATCTTATATGGATATGAAGTTGATTTCATCAATTTTATACTTTGCAAAAATGTTTTATTTTTGAAACCTTATAGACAAAGTTAACTTTGTATTTTTATTAGTAAATAAAGCAAAATGTAATAAAATTAATTATTTGTATACAGTCACAGTTGCAGTATAGGTAGTTGCTACTTTAGAAAGCATACAGATCCCTTTTGATGTTAATAAAATATTTAACTGTTGTACTAGGATTTGCCTTTTTTCTTAAATATATACAATATAAATATATAAAATACAGGTTAAATAAACTCAATATAGTACCACATCAATATTTCTAAATTTTGATTTTAACTGTTTTTCATAATCAGTGTTTATTATTTGGGGACACTGATATAAAGCTAAAAATTTTAACTTTTTATAATATTCTGATATAATATCAACTGTAACAGGTGAAATATTTTTTATTCTAGAGAGACTTAAACTTTGTAATGTTACTAAATTAGGACTACTTAGTGTTTGTAGCAGAACTATTTGAGAAAAATTTGAATTATTCCAAATTTGTAAGTGTTCAATGTTTTTTAAATTAACCAAAGACTTTAAACCTTTATCAGTCAGATTTTCACACCTTATTATTGCTAAATCTCTCAGAATTGAACACTGTGATATCAATTGCAAGATATGATCATCAATAAAGTCACCACCATACATGTGGAAAGTACTTAGAGTTTCCTTTTTACACATAATTAAATCCTTGATAAAATCTATACTCAAATTTTTAATTTTTTCAATGAGAATGTGATTTAGAAATTGACAATGTAACAATTTACTGGAGACAGACCAAAATCTGATAAAGCCAAGAAATGAAGATCTCTAAACTGTTCGTAATTTATTATTAGATCTTCACTTGTTAATAAAAGAGAATTCTTCATATTAAGTTTCTTTAACTTTGGCCAGTTCTTAATGTCATCTTCAAATTCTTTACCTAAACGACACATTACCAACTCAATAGAAACAAGGTTAGTACATTTCTTCATTATTGATTTGATATCTTGATAATTATACACATATTGTACTTTCAGATGGAAAATTAGTTGATGATGACTATTTATTACCTCCAAATTTTTTGCACTTACTTCACTCTGCCCTGGTTTTCCTGAATAAATAATAACAAAACGTCGCCATAAGGTAGTATCATGGGAAAGTTTTTTCCAATGTCTGCAAACTTTTTCACAAATTAACAAAGTTTCAAGAGGAAGAAATTTGAAAATACTTAGAAGTAACTCATCAGGCAAGCATCCTTCAGACCAAGTTTCTTCAGAAATTTCTTGATTCCAAGCTGTCATTCTGTTAACTTCAAAATATGTTATCATGTAAGAGACTAGTATTATTATTAAAAATAGAAAAAATCATTTTTTTTTACCTTTCAAAGTGATATTTTGTTTTCAATATTTTCAAAAGCACAAGAGCAGGGGTTAAATGAATATAACAACTTACGCTGGCACTATTCGAATCTCGTGATTTGTAAACTGCGTCGATTCTGGCTTCGAAATGCAAATCATCGCAAACACATATGTTCCCTAAATATCTAATTTTGTCTTCAAATAAAATACAACACACACTTTGATCTTAGCCAAAAGGCCGAGAAGCGATAATAAAATACAACAAAAATAAAAGCGTCAGCACAGAGTACTTAAACCTGAAATCAGTATATATGTCTTATCTATGCCTGAAACACCTGCTAGTCTTTTGAAAATTCCAAGAACAAGAACATGTTGAAAAACAAGGCCAAAGATATCGCATTTTTTATTATATCGCTGTAGTCGTTGAAACTTACTACCCAACCTCTTCCACGAAAATCTTAATCATATTAAATTATTTATTTTGTGTGGATGCGTTTGACAGCTTCGTATCTTGTATCTTGTATTGACTGATGTTTTTGCTTTCAGTCCCGAGACTATTCAAGCTTCATTTGACGTAGAACCCGTGGGCTAGCCAGAACCCACGGATTTGGGCCCTCCGCTGTGGATAGGGCCACGCATGTGCTCATGCGTGCGTTTAAGTATGGTGTGTCATCTAAGAGCCATCGAGGTCGCGGTTCGGACCGAAACCCCGATGGCCGTCGACTGTGCAATTAGCTAATCGATGGCTGGGAGCGGTGAGAACCGCCCCGGAACGCAGATGTACCTTGCACTAACTGTGGGTGTAGTATTATCCGGCGGGACTCGGCGGTGGGTCCGGCGTATCTAAGTCCCCTTCCTCGACCGGGTCGATTAGGACATTTCGCGCGCGACGCTTGTTGACGTTCGCGTTTGTGTCGGGTTGGCAATTTGCTGCGCTTACCACCAGAGGATTGGGATGATGTTCGGCTCTATCGAAGAACCGTTTGGTCAGATCGCTGTGCAGGTCGACGTTGCGTTGATACCACTGTGCACCGGTTGCGCGGCGGATGAACTTATTTTGTACTATTTGCAACTTGTACAAGTGAGTAGGGTGCGTGTGTGCGAAGGTCATGCATGCGTAAGACATAACAGGTCGTACACAGGTCTAATATAATAATAATTTGTGCCTTAAGGGCATTTTACTTTTAGCGTTAGTTAAATTGTGTAGCCGGGCGGAGACGAACGCGGCTCTATTGCGAACGTTATTAATGTGCGTAGTAAATGACATACGCGAGTCTAAAGTGACTCCTAAGTATTTGAGATTTTTCTCCCAGGGGAGCGGTTGGCCATAAAGGGATATTTGCCCCAACTTTCTGCATTGACGAGGGACTTTATAAAGATGTGACGGGTAAGTACTTCGTGTGAAGTGAATCGCCACACTCTTTTCGGGATTTATTTCTATTCTCCATTTACGTAACCAATCGCCGAGGCGGTTGGCGGCGCTTTGGAGTCCAGTGGTTAGTTACAGCTTCGTTCGCAGGCAGACGAACCGCTGCGTAAAAGAACAACGCGGAACAACGATGCACGAAGATGACACAATGATATCGTCTACTCCGCTGTACCTCCGCGATATCATCAAACAACAACGTAACATTTATACTAAATAAATTGCAAAGCGATCGTTTTTAATTAGTGAGAAAATTGAATATTAATTTAAATACAATTACAAATCTCTTAATATTCAATATTATGAGATTTGTAATCAATTAGGTAACGATCTAACGATCGATCGTATGTTGACTCTCTATTCAAGTTTTGTATGGATAAAGTCTGCGTCGTAGTGTCATTTTACCAGCCGCTCGTGTGAGGGGTACTAGGTGAGACATTACACTTTGTCTTTTGGCTAAAGTGAAAATGTGCTGTTTTAATGTGAGTTTTTATCCAGAGTTCAGCAGTTCGGAGCGGCCGTCATTCGTTATTACCATCCGGCTGTTTCAACGTGGAATGTGAGATCGTTGAACACCACAAGGACGGTCTCTGGTACTTCAACACTATCGTAGGTTTTTTCTAGGTGCAGATAATTCGTAGATTCGGATTTCTTACTCCTACCAGTCAGTAACGATCTTGATTCCATGGACCATCTTAACTGGCTGAAACGCAGAACTATAATTTATTCGGCGGACTTGTGATGTCTTCATGACCGGGCCAGGGATGTAGGGTAGGTGCGTGGAGGGGATCTTCTAATATGTCTGTCTGCGACCATTGGGCACCAGTCACCACGATAGCTCACGGCGCCAACTCATGCACAGCACGCAGTTGGACATGTTTGAATCAACCCGGGTACAACAACTCGTCATTGGTGTGGTTCTAAAAACATTTTGACGATGAGATGATGACTCCATGGTCCAGTTGCCAAGGTACTGGTTTCGACGTCAGGAGTTGTGCTTTTCGATTCCAATTTGAGACAATTATTTGTGTAATCCACATATAATAATTTTTTGGTCTGGGTATTTGTCCCTGTGAAAATATTTATTAAAATGGCCTTATAACACAGGACATCCTACAGTAATGGCAATATGAAAAAAGACCAGAGATTTAAGTAGTGGAAGTAGGCATTGCAATCGCGCGCTGAGTGGTGATTAGTAGTGAACCCTTTTTGTGAAGTGAAACACTACCGCGGTCTCAGCCCACTTTGTTCTTTTCCCGCGGTTTTACACGTGCCTTGAAATTCTAGGCACGTGTAAAACTTTGAACTAAACTAATATTCAATAAGCTACTTTACGTATTTTATCGTGGCGGTAAATGAATGCTGATCACAATCCGATAAATTTTGTAAGTATAAAAATATTTTTTATAAGTAATTCATGAATATTTTCATTCAGATACAGTTTTTCCGCCTTTATTTTACAAATTTAGTTCTTTCATGGCTATCTAATCCTGCACTTTATAATAAGATTATTTTGAATCGATTTTAAAATAAACCGATTATTTTTCATCCCCACACTAACGCCGCATTGGTATGTATAGAATAGAAATGGATGTGTATGGTGGATAATCGGTGGCTCGTAGTCCGTCGGGCCGGGTCGTCTCTGCAGTTTTTAGAATTACACAATTAATAATCAATCGTGTATTTATACTTTTGTGTAGGGCGACCCGATTCCAAACCCGACCAGTGTACTTAATAATATATTAACAATGTTGCATTTAAAGAACATTGCAAAAACAGTTGCAGCACCTCTGAAAAACTCAGTACAAAATGAGGCAGTCAATAATATGCTAAGAATTGCACCTGCAGCTGTTAATGTTTGCTGCCGGACCTATGCAAGCCATGAAATTCCAGAGAGGCTTAAAGATGTGCCGACGAGTGCAAACCCAAGGTTCTTCGATATGGTAGAATACTTCTTTCACAGAGCTTGCCAGGTAATTGAAGATAAATTGGTAGAAGACATGAAGTCTAGAGTTTCTATAGAAGAGAAAAAAAAGAAGGTGGCCGGCATCTTAAAGCTAATGCAGCCATGTGACCATATCCTAGAGATTCAATTTCCTCTTAAACGTGATTCCGGCGATTACGAAATGATTCTAGGATATCGCGCTCAACATTCTTCCCACAGGACTCCAACAAAAGGAGGTAAGTTTATTATTGATTTTTCACTATTCACGCTTTACAATGCGTAGATATTTCGAGTACGTAGTTATGTTTAATAGGATTTTTTATTTATAGATCAAGAGACACGTGATGTTAACGACCGTAGGCAGCGTTACGTAGGGTTATAACCAAAATATTCGGGCGCATAACCTATATAGCCTTATATTTTTATTAATATAGCATTTTCTTTCTTTTGAAATGATATTTAACAATTTAATGTGAACTGTGAATAAGTATAATTCTTTTTTTCCATGTATTTTTACATAATAATTGCTAATTTATCAAATCAAATTTTTGCTACTCATATTCTTACATCCGAAAACTTGTATACGACATACTACAACTTAAAAAATTGAATGTCATAAAATGTGAATACGACTGCCAGTTATAATTTTAAACTATATAGGAACCTGCTTATAAATTAGGATTGCGGATTAATATTCTCTATATTATTCCGAAAAGAAATGTGACTTATATCACTGATTCACTAGATAGACGGTTCATTGTGCGTAGAGCCTTTGTCTAATCAAGTGTAAAATATAATGTGTTTTGTTTAAAAAAACTGAGTGAAATGTTAGAATTTTTCATGTTAAATCACATATTATGCAGCTTTACATTAATACGACATTTTGTGAAAATACGTGGCGCTTTTTGAATTTAGCATTTAAAGACTAAATTATATTCGAATAGGGTGTGTTTGTGTGACCCCCCAGAAAATATAAACAATTATCAAAAGTTACAGTTACAACTTGGTAGAAATATTTAAAACGACTAAATAAGTCACTGTATATTAAATTTACTTCACTAAGAAATAGAAACAAGACAGAATGCAAAAAGAGGTTCAATACTTGTACTTGTTGCGCATTTTACATCAAATAAAGGAAATATTGTAATTCGCGTAACTAGGGACGCTAATATAATATGATCCAACTGTCGCACTTCATTACATCAATTGCCAATTCCGCTGACCTTTTTTACATTACAAATTATAAAACGGTTTCCGCTTTACATATATCATATATGTCCCTAGGTTATCCCATTATTCGCTGCCTCTTAACAGACAGTTCATTCTTATTAATATTTCGTCATTAACTGTTCGAAATCTACAGTCTACACATTAAAATTATCTCCATATCACCTCATGGAGAATGAGTAAGAAGCGTATAGTAACACTGGGTTTTAATTTAGCTAAAATTCAAGGAGAAAAAACCTTTACTTTGAAAACTTTTGTAATAACAATAAACCGGCCATGGGGCCTTGTATTGTTAGTACACTCGTTTGCGATTCGCCACCAATTTTGTCCAAATTCATTGTAAGATGTAGCACAGTTTATTCAATCAACTCTCTAATGCAACCAACTACGAGCTTCTCTAATACCATTTCTAAATCCTTCAATTATTTCTTCCTTGAATAATGATTTCTTGTTGATCAAGTGCTAGATGATTTATATGAAAAACATTGTGAACTAGTTACTGAGTAACATCATACAACCATCATCGTTATTTAAGAAACAAATTTGGAATACAAACAATGCTCAGAGATAATACTTGTAAACATCTACACTGCCCTATAGCAACAGAGGGCGTGGTCGTGACGCGATCTGCGTCAGTCTTGCGTAATCGAAAAATTTCTTTTAAACCTATCTACTCTTTACACTATTATGTAACCAAGTTCAGTCACCAAGAGCCCCTGCAAACTTAATAAACACATGTTACAAATAACGTTAACGCAGGGACTCACGTTTTCACACCTACTTGTTCCGATGCGATCGTGACGTCATACCTGCCAGCCATCCAACGATGTCATCTGATTGATAATAATTTTAGATAGGATGTACACTCTACTACGCATCGCGTTTCATTGAGGATGACACGTTTTAACTGAAATATTATTAATACCTTAAGTGATAGATTTGAAACGATTAAAATTCATGGGCGTGTTGGATACACGTCGCTTCATCGCACAAATAATATGATTGTTTACACGCTCAATTAGCACAGATTTATTTTTATTTTATACAAAATAACTAATTGTTGTAAGTAACCGTCCGTTGCGGATAAAAGCTAGACTTTACATAAGACCAAAAGTCATATTATGATAAATTACGGAAATAAAATCAGTCAGAATTATTAATTCGAATAGTGATAATGCCTTACAGCTACTCATTCATGGTAACACATCTAGAATCATAAAATATATTAACTTATAGGTTACTAGTTTTTGACCGCGGCTTCGCTCGCTTTAAAGCCCTGAATATCTTTCAACCCTTTACAACAATTTTTTTCCAATAAAAAAATAGTATATGTCTTTTCTCAGGCTCTAGACTATCTGTGTACCAATTTTCATATAAATCGGTTCAGTAGTTTTGGAGTGAAAGCGAGACAGACCGACAGTTACTTTCGCATTTATAATATTAGTATCGATTGTACCTCTACGTCCTGTTTCACAGAAGTTCTTAATACGTTTTCTTAGCTACAATGTTTATATTATTATGTCACGTAAAACTTATTGTAATTTACAATGACATCATGTCAATATGTTTACAAATAAAACACGACACTTTGTGTATTTATTTAATATTGTGTATTGTTGTTTATATAAAAAGTGTCTCGTCATAATTACACATAGTTACTTTATATCGCAAATATATTAATAAAACTATTTCATGGATTCCACTCCACAGGCTTTCTCTAAACTCTAAATTATCGTAGTTATATTGTTCGATCCTACATTTGCAAATCACGGATATGAGTCAATTCTCTAGTGATAGTATAGCTTTTAACTGTTTTTTTTTTAAATAAATGGCTTTAAATTGATACAAAAGTTTTATTATAATCACCTCTGATTACGGACGTATTCTGGTCGATGTAATGTTTAGGCTGAAATATATGTTACAAAATAATAATGTATCACTTGAAATGCAATATTTTCTATTTATAGAAAAAATAATGTTAAAGTTGCTTTGAAGAATTTGTTATTGATTAATTTATCGCAATTTTGACAAGCTAATTACCATGTCATGTGATAAACCCGTGTCATATATTAAATGGCTTACGCTTGACTTGAAGTAAAGTGAAGCGAATTAAATTAAAACATTTACTTTGATTTAGGTATTAGATTCTCAACGGATGTGACCAGAGATGAGGTTAAAGCCCTGTCCGCATTGATGACTTTCAAATGCGCATGCGTCGACGTCCCCTTCGGCGGAGCTAAGGCGGGCATCAAGATCAACCCTAAGGAATACTCCGAACATGAACTGGAGAAGATCACTCGTCGTTTCGCCCTCGAGCTGGCTAAGAAGGGTTTCATTGGTGAGTTCATATCTGAAGTTATTCAAGATAAATAGCGTGCTGGAGCAGTGCCGTATAGTCCCATGCGGAAAAAAGTATCCTCTGAGTGTACCAAAAGACAAAACGTAGCGGTGTTCAAACTAAATACTAAAATGGTTTTATGGGAGACTGCAATTCCTGGGACACCTTAGCATAGAATTATAGCTAATATCATGCAACTTCTTTCTTATTCTTCTTTCTCCTGCCCTTTTCTTACACTAGGTGGAGTCGGCAAAACATGTTCTATTCTTCCACTTGCCCCTCAGCCATTATCTCAATACTGACCCCGTTCACAGACATATCATTCTTCACACAGTCCATCCAAATCTTTCTCGGTCTTCCTATAGCTTTGCACCCTCCAACCATATTCATATTCACCACTCCTCTAGCCACGTCCCTTCTTCATCTCTGCTCATCATGTGCTGACACTATGTCAACCTACCACTCCTTATTTTCTCAGTCACTGGTTCCACTTTCAAGCTTTCTCTTTTATACTCATTTTTTATCTTATCCTTTCTGGTCACACCACGCATCCATCTCAACATTCGCATCTCTGCCACATGCAATTATACAAATATTAAGGAGTCCAACGTTAACCTATTTTAATACCTCAAGAGGCACCCTCAAGATGATACCTAATCCAGTTCTCTAAAACTAATGACGTTATTCCCAATTTGGGTGGCTTGTTATCTTTCCGACTTAGATACTGCTGATTATGTTTGCTAAATAAATAGGTAAAGGTATTTTTTTTTATGCGAAGAGTTGCCAAACGAGCAGACGGGTCACCTGATGTTAAGTGAATACCGCCGCCCATGGACATCTGCCCCACCCGAGGGTTACAGATGCGTTGACAACCTTTGGAAAATTGGGCTCCGGCTACCTCACTCACCAGACGAAACGCGAAAGTATTTGTCATACTTCCACTTTACGCTGGTCTTCTGTGAGGTCGTGTTACTTACCCGGACGGGCCTGCGCATTCGTGCAACAGCCGAGGCTGCTGCGTGGCCCTACCACCGTATAGTCATACTAATTATTACTTTAAATTGTTTAATCACTTGATTTCGTTAGTCTCTTAGTATTAGTAAAGTCATTTGTTTAGTTATTCACATGATTCGCTGATTATTTTACTGGTCACGTTTATTATTTATATATATAAAATCTGAAAATATCATATCATTTCTATTAGCTGTCTACTGCTGATATTAATTCGAAACAATGATCGATTAGCTACGTCATTTCTCGGGAAAATTCGAGTGTTACATAAGCATTGTTCTTTTAGCGACTTTGTTTTTTCTTTCGCAGATATAGAAAGTTATCTGACAAAAAATGACTTCAATTACTAACTTTAGTTTTGTTTATATAATACACTTGACTGCTTCAACAAATATTTCAAACGGACACTCGTTTTTTACTAAGTTTCTATTTCCTATTATAATTTTATCACTATATGTATAGTGTCATTTTAACTAATGTCCTCATTAATAAATAAATATGCAGGTAAATATAACATTACATAGGTAAAACTCTTTTACGTATTTTATATTTTTATTATTTTCTTGTCTTGAACCTGAAAATTACTTAAATATTCAGTGTTATTATATTATATTACCCCTAAAATAAAATTTTATTTACAATTACGTTAGTGCTTAATACTTTCATATGTTTACTCTTTGATTGCTTAAATAAATGTTTGCGTTTATAAATCATATTTAGCGGAGTTGCTTTATTTGTGCGACTTTGCTCTAAGGCCCTGGCGTGGACGTGCCTGCCCCCGACATGGGGACCGGTGAGCGCGAGATGTCCTGGATCGCAGACACCTACGCGAAGACCATCGGCTACCAGGACATCAACGCCCACGCCTGCGTCACCGGGAAACCCATCAACCAGGTACAAACGTAAATCCTTACTTCCATACTAATGTTATAAATGCGAAAGTAACTCTGTCTGTCTGTCTGTCTCGCTTTCTGTCTCGCTTTCTGTCTCGCTCTCTGTATAGAAGACTTGACGGCGAGTTACTGTTACCGACCATTGGTTGATAAAGGTTCCGGCTACCTCACTAGCTGCAAGAAACGTGAGAGTATGAAGTTTTAATTTTCATATATCGTGGTATTTTGTGATACGAAGAACCGAATCTCTCCACTTCTGGTCGTTGCTTTATAAGTTTTTTTTTAATATATTTGCGGCCGTTTTGGCCGTAACACCATAGATAATGTTTAATAATAGACAATCATCGGCGTGGAATGTAATATCTTGATGCAAACTGTTCTCGTTTTCTCGTATTTATCTGATCCTATAAACTCATATAGTAGAAAACAGCAAAAATAAACGAGGCCAGGAAATAATGTTCAAAATATTCGTAAAGTCCGAATACAGATTCCGAAAAGGCGACCAATTTAGTAATACCCGTGGTAAGTAAATATTAAATTGTAAGTCACGCAGATGGTTTAGCAGCTTAATTTGCTATTATTTCATACTTTTTTGTACTTCGTTGATAGTTACAAAACGGCCAGCTCAAGGTGAAAACAATTTGGACAATAATTATTTCATGTTGTTCATTTGCAAATGTACTAGAGTATACTCAAAATGTTTTGATGAATATTAACAGGCTCCATAGGTATTTATAATATATACTATATAAGCCAACACAAGTTTTGATTCATAAATATTCTGTATCGATAATAACAAATGTCGACCGTAACGTTTTATTAAACGTCATAAATTATTATTCACATTATCGAAATCATACGCAATTTACCACATCCTTTGAGGCGTTAATATGCTTCATATTATTTCGATATTACAAGTGAAATTACGTAAGTAATAAACAATTTGTGTTATATTTATAAACTAATTTACGCAATGCCTCCCGCGAACTACATCACTTTACCGGTTATCTATATCTGCTGGTATTATAACAAACAGTCTCTTTCGACTACACAGCCAATAGGTTAAAATGCGAGTATGATATTATCAGACCTGCTTTGGAGATGAAATCAAGGTCAAATGCGAGCTTCGAATGCTTGTGAAAACGCGGAAATACTATTTAAATATAGAAGCTGTTTGCAAACTTGTAATTAATTTCACGTACTCTTATTAAATAAACATAATCTTTTCGGATTTTGAAGTCTTACTTGATTGTTCTTCTTGATTATAATTTCAATATACTCGCGAATCATCCTTGGAAGGAATCGTTGCTCTTTTTACGAGTACGTTTTGTTGAAATATCTTTAAAAAATTGTTAATTGTGTGTTCAACAACTGACGACTTCTTTAATTGGCGGTTGACATCGGCCTTGTTTTCTTTAATTCGGGCTTTATATTTTAAATTGGTCAAAATTGGTAAATACGATAATAAATAATTTCTGAAAATGAAATTTTCGGTTCAGAGATGATTTTACCATTATTGTAACGGTTAAATTATCTCATTACAATCGGAATGTGTTCACCATATGGTAATCACCTCATTACATTTCACATGGTGATGAGGTGAACATATTATGATCATGCTGAGATAATTTTACCGTTACTATAAAGTAAATGATAAAAATATGTGAATGACTAGGTGGCGCAATTACTATTTGCTCTGGCGTCAGGGGTCGTGGGTTCGATTTCAACACATGACAAGTATTTGTGGGTCCACAAACAACATCATTCACACGGTATACCGATCTCCCACGAAAGTGGAATAAGGGCAGGAGGATGATGGTATATTCTGCACATTACCGCAAAACTTTGACTTTCGGGCATATCCTTACTAATTATCGGGCATATAATTACACAAATCGATGTTTTATATAATAATAATAATTGGTAAAAATTATATTTCTATTCCACATAGCAATAAAAATGAATGTACGTAATATAATTTATAATCTTGATTTCTTAAAACACCCGTTAGAAATTTTTAACCCTTTACAATCGGTATCTCGTTTCATGATAGAGTTCCGTTGCCTAGCGACTATCGCATTTATATATTTCTTATCAATATCTCGATTGAAATGAACAGCGACATTATCTCTCGCAATATAATTCATTAGCCGTGAGTGGTCATGTGCCTTAACGACACCTATCTATGTTTTCTAGATTCCTTGAGGTTATGAAAATATAAAGCGTGTATGCTCTGACCTTAGCGCGGATCTACGGTAATTGGATTGGTTATCAAACAACAACCTCTGTTTCTTCGTAATAAGTATTCAAATCGCGTGATCTATGTGTAATGTGATTACAATAGCAGCCTCGCTTTGTTTAATCTTCTCGTTCAATGGAGTGTTGTACGTGTAAAGCTTTTTAGCGAGGTTCGCGCGATTTTGTATAATAAGATTGACAAAGTATCTTTCGGTCCGTTAGAAAATACATCACTATCTGTATGATAGCATTAAGCTAAGACGACATTATTAATTAAGGCTCTTTCAATATTAAGTGTTGGTTGGCAAAGTCTCAACAGCCTGCTTGTCCAATTCGCATGCCAACTTAATGTTATAGCGGTTTTGAGATTTGAATTTTGTTCGTCTTAATGACGCAATGTAGACTTTTGGAATGTTTTAAAGTTTTAAAAATAAACTTTTGTTTTGCACTTGCTATTATTAATTACATCGCAATATTTGATTAAACTGTACAAACTCAATTCACTATGTTAATACAATCTACAGTGTAGGACGACCTCAAACTATAATATGGAGTGACAACTTGTCCAAGTATGTGATTGGGAATTCGATAGATGAAGGTTTTTTTAAATGGAAAAAGGAGGCAAACGAGCAAGCGGGTCACCTGATGGTAAGCGATCACCTATGTCCATTGCCACTTGCAGTATCGGTTGAGTATTTTTGGCGTGATGTACAAACTTACATTCACATTTATATTACTACTAGCGACCCGCCCCGACTTCGCACGGGTGCAATAAATTATACATAAATATATATATATAATAAAATATATAAACCTTCCTCTTGAATCACTATCTAGTGATACATAGGGACAGACAGACGGCAGAACTGAGATGGCAAAGTTTGTTTTATACTATGTAGTCATAGTGAGGTAGGGATGTTACCGATAAAAAATTAAATTCGTAAAACTTAAATCAAATAGTTGATTCTCCAATGATTTCGCACAGGGAGGTATCCACGGTAGGGTTTCCGCAACCGGCAGAGGAGTGTTCCACGGCCTGGAGAACTTCATCAACGAAGCCAACTACATGAGCATGATTGGTGAGCCTTCATAATTTTTGTACACAATGTAGTATGCGATTCTAAACTCAACGCCGATCTTCTTTTGCATTTAAATTTCTATTAATACAAAAAATATACGTAACTAGCAACCCACCCCGGTTTCGCACGGGTACCAAATTCGTAGGGCTGGTAAACCCGCTGGGCTAATCTGAGGGCTGAGAATTTCATCAATATCGATCCAGCCGTTCTGCAATCCATGGGAAAAATACATACATCGATGTATGTATGTATTTGCACATCTAGTGCCTCACATCAATGTCAAACACATTCAAACGTAGTAAATTAATAAGAGCGTAGAACTGAGTGTCGTTGCTTAGCTAACTGGGCGATAATTCCTAAGGTTACATTGTTCGTGGAACGCGTAATGTTACCCGTGATAAGACTTCATGCGTGCTGACATCAAAACATTCGTACCTATTTATCACCATTTCATTTTCATTGAGATTTCACGACCATTTGTGATTAGGTAACAGTATATACATTCCAGAAAACTTTATATTATTTCGATTAAACCCAAAATGTTGCCAGGATTGAATACTAAAACCGACAATATCGTACCTAACTTAATCTTTTATAGTGCTAAAATCTGCACTTAAGATGAAACATTAGGAGTTGTAGAAAGTAAATAAAATATTTTTCTACAAATTTTAATATTACGTCTTAAGTGCAGAGATTAGAACTATAAAAAATTAAATTTCAAATAGCAATGGCGACAACTCTGGTTCGAATTGTTGTTGTATAATATTTGAATATTTTAGTGTGCTTTATAGGACATTGCAATAGATGCGTCAAGCATTGCTTAAAATGCGAAATTACAATTTAGAATTTAAATTACTAATTATTATTGAGATTTTAGTCGGTGTGGCTTTCGGATTCATCCGTTTAGCTTAGTGGTTAACGCTCTTTGGCTGAATCCGGAAGACACTTGGGTTCGATAACGGCGATGACATTATCGTGACGACAGTGGAAAATTTCTATACATAAAAGACACCTAATTTAGTTATTTTTTTTAAAAAAACATTGCCCTTACTTTAGGATAACATTATCCTGTGTTGTAAGGACGTTTTACAAACATAAATTTCACGCGGACAAACACCCATACGAAACAACTACCTGTGGGTCACACAAATAGTTGTCCCGTGTGGGAATCGAACCCACGACCCCCGACGTCGAAGCCGATACCTTGGCAACTGTGCCACGGAGTCATCATACCGTCATACCATCAGACCACGGAGTTATATTTCGTATAAGCTGCATAGGCATACACTACTTGCTCTTTTCACTCGTTCCCACGTCCATCATCGTCCAGGCCTAAGCGTAGGCCAAGACTACTCTAGATCAGTCATAAGGGAACCGTGCATTCAAAAACATCCCATGTCACTCGGCGTCGAAAAGCGGGTCGGTCGTTGCTCCGTTGCTTTTTTTTTTTAAGAGAAAAGTTGGCAAGCGTGCCGGCGGTTCAGCAGATGTGAAGTGATTAACACTGCCCATGGACATCTGCGGCGCTCCGTTGTTCCAACCTTTATAAAAGTGGACCATGGTACTTCCCAGGGCGAGCCTACCTACTACAAAACCTATTTTCAATTATTTTCATGCATGCAACTACAAAACCTATTTTAACTCTGGGAAAATTAAGAACCGTAATAAAAATGTCCAGAAGATATCTCAGTAACCCCCCCCCCCCCTGTTTTACTTCGTGATTTTTGCCGAACAAACCCCCCCCCCCCCTCCCCCCTTTCGAGTATTGTGATTGATGGACGATCTATTACGATCGCATTTCGTGTATATATCTGGACACCTCTCAGGCACAACTCCCGGCTGGGGCGGCAAAACGTTCATCGTGCAGGGCTTCGGCAACGTGGGGCTGCACACGTGCCGCTACCTCGTCCGCGCGGGCGCCACCTGCATCGGTGTGATCGAGCACGACGGCGCCATCCACAACCCCGAGGGGATCGACCCCAAGGTACGAATGTGGAAACTAATGCTAAAATAGATGTATACATATCAAATTCAAAATGTCTTAATCCCAATAGACGCTTTCGCGTTCTTATGAAGCGTTGAATTGTACATAAAAACTAATAAATAAGTCACCACGGTAAGTTTGGAAAGAAGTTTCTCTTGAGAATAAAACACCAAGAAACTCAACATAAATCAGCACGCCATCGAATGATGTTGCTCATGGGCAGCAGTATCCTTTTAATATCAAGTGAACCGCCTGATCGCTGGACAACTTTCACATTTAAATAAAAATTATCGAAGCTAATTTCATCAAATTACAAGTGCTATTTTCAACTCGAGCTCGCGACATTTTGAATAGTTATCAATATAGTATAATAATAATAATATAGTATAATATGAATTGTAGCAGTTTCTTTAAACATAAGTGCGGTGGTATGGCCACGCAACAGACTTCGAAAAGTACCACGATCTCACAGAAGATTGGCGTGAAGTGGAAGCGTTATACTTCTGCATTTCATCTAGTGCGTGATGTAGGCGGGGCCCACTATATTAAAACGCATATGCAACCCTACGGCTGTTGCAAATGTCCATGGGCGGCGATTATCACTTAACATTGGGTAAACCGATAGATCGCCTGCCACCTTATCTCATAAACTAAAAAAAAAGGTTAAAACTTCCTATATCCTATTGAGTGTGTGTTATGTTCCTATTTTATGTATTCTAACATAAGCAAAGATGTGTAAATCGTTACTAAACAGAACTATATGCTTCAATTGCAAATGTTGAGAATGTAAGTGACCCCAGAATCAATGCCAAACTAATTTATATTCTGCCCTCAAAAATTTAACTAAATGGGTGTAACCAAGTTACTCTCCATGTTATTAATGATTTTTACTAAATGTGTATAACACACATTTAGAGAATGTTAGTTAATGATTTCATACACATCTAACATAATATGAACATTTAATGAATACAATACAATGATGTCAGTCCAATATGCGTCAAGGTTGTCGCCGTTGTCTTATTTCAACGTTCGAGAGTGCCTGGAATAGAATAAGCGGGTTGCCTATTTTTAACCAAGTGCAACCTAAAAACTACAATCAATGACTGATTGTAATATTTTATTGCATGGTAGTGATTGCATAAATATATTTAAACTGAAAAGAAAAATTTGTTTTTATACAGAGAGATTTGGTGTGAGGTAAACTTCTATTTTAAACCATATTACCTTCTTATATTATGCCAAGCCCAAGAATCAGTTTTAAAAATAAATATGTACAAATGGTGGAAATTGATTGACTAAATTGAGCCTCATGAGACATATGCAGTATTTGCCCCTAATGAGTCAATATGATTAAATGCGTAACCCTGTTTTTTCTTTCATTAGTATGAATATTACAAATTTAAAACAAGGAAATGTAATTATTTCTTTGTTTTTAATGAGGGTAACAATCGCACATATAATCCACATGATTATGACATGACATGACTTGGTGCTTAATGCACCTTAAGTATAGAATGTATCTTTACTGATTACTGCTATCAATAAAGATACATACTATTCTTATATCTTAACAATATTTAAATTAGTGTGTGATTGGCCAAAGTTTGTAGTTGATAAAAATAAACAATTAAATAGAATTAATTAAATTAGTAAATAAATGATTAATATTTTCAATGCAATCTTAATTGGCAATGGGTTTAATTACTTCTTCGCTAATTGAATGATCTATACTTTCATCAATAAATTAATAGTTAAAGCACCTGAGCCCACTATGGGCTACAGTGATTATAGCTTATATTATAAAATTTTTGCGGTTTTGTAATTTTTATGCACTGTTGTCTTAATATGGCCTATTAGCCTTATCTGTTAACTCCTTTTAGATTAAGATGTTTATCTATTACAACTGACCTCAAAAGGGAGAGGGTTTTCAGTTATGTTGCTTTTGTTTGTTACCTCATAACTCCGTTGCTAACGAACCGATTTTGAAAATTCTTTCTGCAATTCGTGCGGGCTTGCTCCCATGTAGTCCCATATTAATTTCATTCCTGTTGGTCTCCAGAGATATAATAAAGAAAAAAATCTGTTATGTTGTATAATTTATATATATATAATCTTTATTTATATATTTGTCTACAATTATTGACTTTAAAGGAAATTTATTTATTTCTTATATTTAATCTTCGGTTTAGCATCTACCTGCCATCTACTTTTCGGTTACGGTTGACTGGTAGAGAATGCCATTAGGCATTAAGTCCGCCCGTTGTAGCCTTTAACATAAGGTGTAACAATGAAGTATAAATATAAAGAAAGAAATCTGTTTATCTTTCTTTTTATAAAGTGTACTTGCTTTTTTAGGCCTTGGAGGACTACAGGATCGAGAACGGCACCATCGTGGGCTTCCAAGGCGCCAAACCCTACGAGGGTGAGAACATGTTGTATGAAAAGTGCGACATTTTGGTGCCCGCCGCGGTCGAGCAGGTCATCCACAAAGAAAACGCCCACAAAATTCAAGCGAAGGTACATTAATAACGACTTTATCACAGCAGTGTGGCATAATATTCAAAACATTAAACAACATAAATTGTATTGAGATATATTATATTTATAGGAGAAATTTTGACATATACTGAAGAAATTTTTGGGGTCACGGATTAAAAAAAAAAAAAAAAAAAAAAAAACTATGTGTAATATTGTATGCAGCATTTTAATTTGTTAGTTCGTTTTGCTAACACATCTGAGATGTTTATATAAAAACTTATCTTTTTTGTTTAATTGACCTCTTCAAATAAAGGTTGTTTTTAGGATATTTTACCTTTATCTTTATTTATACTGATTTAACGTGATAACAAAACTTACTAAATGTTGAGATATGTTCGCACTAGATATGCCCGGCTCGCCGCAGATAAGATAAAATAGAAATAATAATGTTAAGCTAACATTACAATTTCAATGATGCGAGATAAATATCAAGATAACTTGCAAAATCTCAGCTGCGATAGCAATATTGTTTTCAAGAAAGAAATGTATATACATTTTGAAAAGAAAAATACGATTTTGAATTAATCACGATAGTCTTCCGACTGAAAGCGTAATTTCCGTTCATTTTCCGATACAAAGAATATAATAAAAATTAGTATCTCAAATTAAGAGATCTTGCTAAGTACTTATGATTTATGATCCTTATACATATCGATTAAAGTCTATAGATTTAACTCAACCGCATAGACAGATTGTATAGATAGATTTTATTAATAACAATCTTTATATATAATCATATATATCACCGAAATGTAGATACATTTCGGTGATATAAAGATTGTTATTTTTCATGTTAATATCCATTACTTAATCAACAATACTCTCTTAATTTAGTTCGTTAGGAGGATTTGCAAAATTATTTCTATAATTCGATTGAGAAAATGTGGCGAATATTAATTGACAGGTGAGCGTTGCTCTCGTACAAGACCGATAGCACCAAGGTTGCTGCATAAAAAACACAGGTGCAATGTCCTTTGTTCAATCAGCACCGCGATAAAACCGGCCGATAAATCGATAAATAGTTTTTGTGTTGGTATTTTTGGTTCTTTTGACAAATCTAACTTAAAGGTTTTACTCGTACTCCATTCTTGCTTTTTGCGCTTTTTCATGCATAAGGGATATTTAGTTACACGGCGTTAAAATAACAATAGACGTGACTTCGAATTCCGTAACTTTCCATTAATAGCTTATTGATAATGGAAATAATATTTTTTATAATATAATTAATTTCATGCTAATTGAAATAAGCATTTATATCAAGTTTGTTACTTATCAGCCCCCTGCAGTGAATCAAAAATCCTTTCCTATTATTTATCAACAGATTAGATTATGATGCATATTGACCTTGGGTTTTTTTTTTGTAAAAATTCTAAAATATTTTTTTATGCATTTTACCAGTATGAAAAGAAAATAATCTCACAATTCAAACATATTTCTTTTAATCCTATTAAAGAAGTTGCTTAAAGTAAGCAAATGGTATAACATTTAATCTAGCTTATTTAGTTCCGATCATGACTCGGGTATGAAACAGTGGAGAAATATACCTACATTTTATACATGTACATAAGAAATCAGAAATGCTGGAGATATTGCTAGTTAACTAACTAGAGACTAGAGCTTCCTATATTTGATATAGTTTGTAATGATTAATATAATTCTGAATATTTAGTAATCTAGATGTAGCCAGTGTTAGAAAAAATCCAACACTAAATATAACAATCAAAAAAAAAATTTGTATATTTTCTGTGTACACAAATTGAACTTAATTGCTGTGAGTGTTTATGAATTGAATTAATTCAAACTTATTTTTAGATCATCGCCGAAGCTGCCAACGGCCCTACAACTCCTGCCGCCGACAAGATCCTTATTGATCGCAACATCTTGGTCATCCCCGACTTGTATATTAACGCCGGTGGTGTGACCGTTTCATTCTTTGAATGGCTGAAAAACCTTAACCATGTCTCATACGGACGTCTTACATTCAAATACGAACGCGAGTCCAACTACCATTTATTGGGTAAGTGTACGCATAAATTTTGTTTACATTTTTTATTTAGGTTAATGGTTTAAAAGCGAAATATAAATTAATGTTCTATTTTAAAATAATACAGTATAATTAGAATAGTTATATCAGATTTTTATATTCGATAATAAAATAAGCCATTAATGTTCTGCATTGAAATAATCTAATTAGAATAATATATGAAATGTCCCATTGTTAGCTTTTTCCAGGTAAGTTTTAATACATAACATTTTCATAACGCAAAGGGAGAATTAATATCAATTTATTCATTCTTGTTGATTACAGAATCCGTACAGGAGTCCCTGGAAAGGCGTTTTGGCCGCGTTGGAGGACGCATCCCGGTAACTCCTTCCGAATCCTTCCAAAAGAGGATTTCTGGCGCTTCCGAAAAAGACATTGTGCATTCAGGCCTTGATTACACAATGGAGAGATCTGCTAGAGTAAGCATTTATTTTTAGGTAGCATTATTACTTTACATACACACTTTATATTCTAAGTTGTATATTATACTATTATATTAGTTGTGTGTGACCGGTTTGTATGTATGTAAGTTCATATGTTCTGTCATAACTTTCATAATTTTTAGAACAAGTTTTTTCAGTAGTCGGGTTTTAGGTTATGCTAATTTATATACTAATTATATATTCTATATATACTATAGAAATACTAATTTTTTGCTAGTTTTTGGATTTTCTCTTCACCACCAACAAAGATTCACTAACAACTATTTATTTGGCTCTATTTTATACTTACTCTGTTTATGGATGATAACCTATAACTTTTCTGTCCACAACAGGCTATCATGAAGACCGCTATGAAGTTTAATCTAGGTCTGGATTTGAGAACAGCAGCATACGCAAACTCCATTGAGAAGATTTTCACGACGTATGCTGATGCTGGTCTTGCATTCTAAACTCATTTAATAAGTATAAGTATTGTCTGCATTTTATGGACTCTCCATTTAGTACCCCAGAGCACTCAATGTAATTTTAAGACATTATAATCACAGTATTTTTTTCTTTGTTGAAATCATGGCGTTTTTTACTTTAATGTTAAGAGAAGCTTTGTTAAACTTTTTAAGTGAAAATTTGATTTTCTATTTGTATTGTCTTAAACTTTGAAATAAATTTGTTTTACCGTTAATAAGTGCTTTATTCTCTCTACCTTTTCCTAATTTAGTTACATGACGATTATACATTATACATGATGTTCAATCAAATTCGAGATTATAAGTATATGACTCTGTGAAACAAAATTAATTTTAAATTGTTAGTGTAAAATTGAATAACGTATCTCAGTACCGAAATTTGCTTTATCACGTAGTTTATGATTAGATTTAAAGGTAAGTAAATTATCATTTTTTAATTAACTCTTATAAAATAAGTGATGTAGTTCTTACTTCTTACAGTAAGAATATTTTTATTTACTCAGAAATTATCTCTCATAACAAAACTGAAAAATTATGAATATATGTGATAAATGATTGAAAATTTTGAATACATTATTATAATTATTATCATCACCCTTATCCCACATATCTGGATTTGGCACAACACAGTAATACTTATCACATGTGTGAATAGAACGCTCTTCGCCAGAGCTGAAGGCAACAGCTGAACAACTTCGAAACCGAGTATATTTTTTATAATGACTAGGCGTAGTTGCTGTAATAAGTTGGACCTATAAGGTTTTATCATCATAGAATCAATTTGCGATGTTGCATTTAAACGCATGAATTACTTATTGAGTCAATATTGATTATTACGAAAATGATTATTCATCTTTGCAAATCATTAACTCAATTTTATTTATTTAGAATAGTTTAAAGACATTACACATTACATTATACATTACACATTACACATTAGTGCAACAGTGAACACTGTTGCACGAATGGGCCTACCACAGTACGACGCATTTGCAACCCTACGGGTGTTGCAAATGTCCATGGGCGGCGGTCATCACAACATCAGCTGAACCGCCAGATCGTTTGCCACCACATCCTGGGAAGTTGACAATAATGTGTCCTTCAAAATGCCGAAACATAACGAACGCAATCGTTACCCACTTCGTCGTCTTTATAATTTGTTCATGTTTTTTCCACCTGGGAGAAACATGAATGGCGGGCAGACATAATTTCGCAACGCGTATAATCCATTCACTATTTAATATAGCCAGACTCCAAAGTCATCGGTCCTAGAAGATCTATTTCCAGTTGGGCTTTGTGATGGTCTTATCCAGACAATATTTATGCAGCGTCTGTCGATAATCTAAACTATCTAACTAAACTCATATTTTTGCGTCGTATCCTTAAATTTCTTTTTGATGGATAATAATAACTTGGCAACGCAACTACAACTCCACAATATCTTATAAAGTGGTGTGGCGGCCTGTCTACAACTGACATCACAGCTAATCGCCGTCACACGGCGAGCCGTTATTTTGAATACTCTCGGGCGCCTTCGTGCATCGTCGACCGCGCTCGGGTTTTCGCTGGACGTCAGTGATTTTGCGTACGTGACCAGAGAGGAGTCTGCCGTCCGCCGCGCGATTGCTATAACGTCTATGTTCCTAGCTGTAAATTCCAAATTGTAATTGTAAATATATATATTCAATGTGGAGTTAGTATATCTTTCAGTTTCATCCTACTAACCCACAGTTGTATTACTGATACAGCATAATTAGCATTAATTAACCCTAAAGGGTTTTAATGAATAAAACTTCCCTTGACATAAAATAAGGAATTTAAAATTACTCTTCAGTGGTAGGGCCACACAGCAACTTTAGCTGTTCCATAAATGTGTAGGTTAGTCTGGGAAGGTACCACGGTCTCTCATAAGGTTGGCATAAAATAGGACTTATTATCTGGGTTTTCGATTGGCGGTAACTGAGGCCCCACTTTTTTAATAATGGTAAAGCATCTGCTGTTCAGGTGTTGAAGAGGACATCTACAACAGCTGAACAATGCTTTACCATCATGAGCAGCGGTAATCGCTTAACATCAGATGAATCGAAGTGTCATTGTCATTTAATGGGGAGTGTACAAGCGATTAATCTTTTATAACATTTATTTTGTAGACGATGTTTTCGTGAATGATTTATTTTTGTTAACATTATTTACACGGTTAACATTAAAGATAAACAAATTTCGTAAGATATTCATTCGTAAGCGATAGTGCGACACCGGTACGTCTCGGGATTAAATCGCAATTTCAACCTTATTCCTTGGTATAGATAGGTCGCCTTATCGATTGCGTGCTAAAAGTTGGTAGTGCGGTCGGAATCAGCACTTTGAAGACAAATCCGACTGCACATGCAAAGTTCAGAATTTCTTATACACCTTAAATGTCGCATCATAAACTCGCACAAAGCAAATTCGAAACATGACTCATAAGGCTGGGGGAGGGTGGGAATACCCGAACCAAGGGCTCTTCACGTGGAAGTTTGAATCTCGGCTTGGACCTCAATCAATAGTGAAATGAATATGGAGAAGTATTAAGGTCGAAATTACAATTTAACCACGAGACATAACTGAATTATAAAAATTAGATTACGAAAACAATGATGGGGGAAACACAAGATTTTCGAAAATAATGACTAGCTATTACAAAAGCAACCTGTCGCACGAGGATATCGCCAAGAATAGGGACCACGCGCCCTCGTGAACATATTCTGCCGCTGCCTTCTGTTAGTTTGAGTCGCCTCGTTCTTGTGGCGGCACGTTGTCAGATGGCGGCTAGAGAATAAAATTGTTTAATGCGCGCATTAATTCGTCTTAGGGATTATCTTAAATGTTCCGAGCATCGCCATACATCTCGCCTCAATCAATTTATTTTATTTAAATGCATTACATTTTATAAGTTATGTTATTATTTAGTTATAATTTAATTTGCCATGACGTAATTACTTGCTGGTTTTTTGCTTCTTTGGTTTTTAATTTATTTATTTGGACCTAGATTTGGTCTTTCATAAGATACTATAGGTCAAAATATTAAAATATGTCATTTCTGAACGCGATCACTTACGTGTATAGCGATTACTGTCGCTGTCATTGTCAATTTGTCAAGTAATGTATTGAATTATTTGCATTACATTGACTTATTTCGCATTTTTGAAACCGAGCTAAGTACAATATTTAAATTAAGAAAATGTTTCTTTCGCCCTTCGTTATCACTATACTAGTCACGTTAATAAGTGGAATATTTTCGAAAAGTGTAGAATTAACTTTTGAACTCCCTGATAGTGCTGTAGAGTGTTTCTATGAAAAAATTGACAAAAATACTTCAGCTTCACTAGAGTATCAGGTGAAAAATCAAATGATTTATATTACTTGTCTTCATTTTATATATTTTGTCATTTATAACTTGAACAATAAACATTCCCAACTTTGGTAACCTAAGTGGAGATAAAATAACATAACCATTTCGCTGGTAGTTTATTTGGCAAATAGAGGGTGAACTCTTTTTCCCGTAAACATCAATTTTTGTTAATTATAGGTAATCACTGGTGGCCAGTATGATGTTGATGTCAAATTGGAGGGTCCAAACAAGGAAATAATTTATCAGCAACAGAAAATGCAATATGATTCACATCAGTTTACAGCCCTTCATACAGGTATTATTACTTTTCTGTAGTTTTAATATCCTTACTAAATTATTTTTTTCCTATGAAACGTAATATTTCTTATATTCCATTATAGGTATTTACAAAGTGTGCTTCAGTAATGAATTCAGTACTTTCTCTCATAAGCTTGTATATATGGAACTAAACGTTGGACCTGAACAACCTTTACCTGGTATTGGAGACCATGCTACAGTACTTACACAGGTATAATTCTTTGTAATTTTTTTTGCTTTGCATTTTCACTTTCTGGATAGAGTAATACTTGAATGAAGTCATAGAGTATTTTAGTATAGAGAATAAATTACATTATTCAATTCTTTTGTAATACTAAAGAAGTTATATTTCAATTTCAAAAATCTACAAAAATATAATAATAATAAAAGTAATAATATTTTTTTATTATTATTATATAAAACATAAATCAATCTTAAATGTAGGAATGAAAATTAAAATATTGTTTTATTTCCTTTTCATCAAACAATATTCTTGAAGTATTTCATAAATATCTTTTTTCAGTTGGAAACATCTGCTGAAGAAATTCATTCTGCGCTTAATAGAATTATTGATCATCAAACCCACCATAGACTTAGAGAAGCCCAAAGCCGTAAGAGGGCAGAGGATCTTAATGAGAGGGTATTCTGGTGGTCAATGGGAGAGACACTTGCAATTGTATGTGTTGCTTTTGGGCAAGTTATGGTCCTGAAAAATTTCTTTAGTGACAGACCGACATTATATAATCGAATGTAATAGTTAAAGTTTAATAGTTTATTTATATTATAATATATTTCATGGGTTTGACTGCTTGTTTTATTATCAAAATGTACAGTATTTGTAGTATATATTTTTACATTACTTTTATATGAGCCTTGTATAACTAAAATGTTGCACGCCTTTCAACATATTCAACAGCTTTTAGAACTCCTTATTATCTCCACTACTATGCAGTGGTGCAGTACACCAATTCACGGTGAGCTAGATGGTGGCAAATCTTAATAATAATATTCCTTTTCTAAGACTCATATGTACTGTATTAAAATTTGAACTTTGACTTATATTAAAATAACCTTTAACACAAAATTCCTTTACAATTTCTTTGAATTTAATAACTGATTTATTTTGAACATTTTCTAGGATGTTGTTGTGAAAGCATATACATTGCCCCATAAAATGTTTGCTTGTTCTACACATTTTGGTTGTGTGTGGAATGAACTTATGTGTGTAATTCCTAGTATTTATCTCAGAGCAAATTTATTAACTTTAATTTTTATAATCTTCATTTAGCACCTGCCATCTACTTTTCATCATGACAAGGGTTGACTGGTACAGAATGCCATTAGGCATTAAGTCTGCCCAGTAGCCCTTAGCTTAAGGTGTAGCAATTAAGCTTAAATAAATAAAATTTTCAAAGAGACCCTGTTGGCAACTGGCCACGGTATTGGATTCAGGGTCGGGGGGTCGTGGGTTTGATTCCCACACGGGACAACTATTTGTGCGACCCACAGATAGTTGTTGGATCTGGGTGTTTGTCTATGTGAAATTTATGTTTGTAAAACGTCTTTACAGCGCAGGATAATGTTATCCTAAAGGGAAATGTTTAAAAAAAAAATAAGTAAGTACTGAGAAGCAACAGTCAATATTTTTACTCCTTTAAACAAATTTCTTAGTGCTCTCTTTTCGAGGATGAAGATTGTGTTTATGTCAGCTGCATTTTCCCAAAGTAGAATACCATGACATTTTACTGTGACATATCTACATCATCTTATTCTTCTAACCATGAAAGCTGTTAAGTCTACTTGCCAGTTTATTAATATGGAGACCCCGTTGCAGTTTGTCATCTATAGTTATGCCAAAGAATACAGTTGTGTCAATGGGTGCTCTATCTCTTCTTCATATAATCTTCAAATATTTATGTAGAAATTAAGTAAAATTTATAATAATTAAAATTAAAGAATATATTTTTTAATAACTAAGATATAGGGAATACATTTAGAAATTGTATAATTAAACTAAGGTTTTATTTATTTTAATTGTTAACTGCTAATGTAAATAAGTAATGTTTTAAATTAGGGTTCCTTACAATTGTCTCTATTGAATAATTGATGTTGTATTAATTCCATATTTCTTAAATTAACAAATTACTACTCATGTAAGAATGAACTTATTAAAGTTAAGATATTGTCAAGAATGTGAACAGTTGTACTACTTAAACTTGTTTTGCAAACAACTTTCAAGATTTTCGAAGTTGATAACCTTATATCTATAGTGTTTTATTTCACACCTTAAACTTTTAGTCCATTTATCAAAACAGAAAACAATAAGCTTTTATTAAGACAGTACCCACAATTTAAATACAATAAATATACAGAGAAGATTATTTGTTAACAAATGTCAATGAGTGTCAAAATATTTTGACAATATTTGATAGATTGCATTACTTCCGATTTAGTAAGTAGGATTACTCATGGACAAAATCCCTTCAGAGGCAACTATGACATCTACCATTTTGTCATCAATCAAAAGAGTGGCCAATGCTTGTTTTTGATCTGAAAAATACCCCCTTGAACATAAAGCAAATGTCAGTCCTGACAGTTTGTGTAACAATAGGCACACACAAGTACAAGGTGGCACTTCTTAGGATATTTAAGAAGTAGGTAACCTACATAAACTGTTGTAGCTGCATCAAGGCACAAGACTCAGTTTTTTATACAACTCTATAACAACTCTAATAATAGAAGCTGCAAGATTGAGTAATTAAAATAATTGAGTTTTTATATTTTCATATATTAAAATTTTTACTTTAGTGTATTTCAAGTTCATTTTATATTAATTAAAATTAATAAAAAAATGAGTTGCACATGTTCTTTTTTTATAATTTTCATAAATATATATGATTGCAGGTTCACTTTGTCCCTATGTGCCAGTAGAAAGCTTTTTACAGAAGTAAAATAATTGAGTTTTAATAAAAGAATTATGATTTTTATAATGTGATTTTTTAATTATTAATGTAAGTATTTGCAGTTATACAAGAGCAATTTACCTAGAAAAGTAAGAATGATGAGATCTTCAGAGATCAGCATTCTTTATTAGTACTTTAGATATTAATACCATGTTTTTGTTGTAAAGTTTACAAAGCATGAACATTAAAGAGGCCTATTACAATCTTGAGTGAATTCAATTATGCTATCAAATTCTATATAAAAAATTGTACAGCTTTTCTTGAAGTATTGCAGTACATAACTTTAGTTTTTGTGTTTTTCAAATCATCTTAGATTTTATAGATTTATATAATATAACACTATAATCCCAGTCTCTAAAATAATACCAATAAAGCAAAAACTCCATTGACCAATGCACAAGGATAAGCTATCAAGGGCCTTTGCTCTGCATCCCCTGACATAGTTACAAATAATCGGCTAGCTGAAAGTGCTGACCAAATTACGGCAACAGCAGAAAGACTAAGACCCACTGTTCCCTCCAGAGATAAAAATATACCTAAGCCAGCAAGAGCCACCATGGGCAACATACAATATCCTAAAACACTTGCTACACTTAAAATAGTAAATACACCCTCACTGCGGCTCATTAGAGAAAGTAAACAATACATCAGAATAACAGACATGACTGAAAGACCATAAACATATCCAAAATGAGCTTTGTTACCAGACAGAAACAAGCAAATTGCTAATGCTAAACAAAAGGCAATAGGGCCAGCAATGTCAGTGTCTCTCAATAAAAAGTTTGCATCATCTGCTTTTGACTGACCATGAAAAGGATTAAGAACAGCTAAAGTCTTCTCTAATATGCGATCTGGATATATTTCCAATTCATCCAACAGTGGTGGTTCATCAAATTCATTTGTCGTTGAGTTTTCTTCTCCCGGTATTGGTGCAGGGGTAAATATGTTTGGATTATAATATTGATTATTATTAGCAGTAGCAGATGGACCTTGTACTTGATCATATGCATAATTTTGGTCAGGTGGAAAAGTCTGAAAGTCTGAAAAAAAACTCAATGTTTAGAAAGAATTGGATAATTTCATTGAGTTCAATAAGTGATCAAGAGTATTAGAAAATTTGATACTAATATAATATAATCTTACCTAGACTTTGGGCTGGATCTATAAAATTATTTGAAGTATCAAAAGAATAATTATTTTGACTCATATTCGGAGCTTGCCAAGAATAATCATTTGGATTGCTATAGTTAGCCATTTTGAAGATTAATCGGCTTCTGATGTTTGTTTCGACTTTCTAATTTTAATATATTATAAAGTTTCAGCGTTTAAAAGAAAACTTCAAAACATTGATATTTTTTGACATAAGGCTATCGAAATCGCCAAGTTGTATTTGTCAATTTGCGAGTTGAATTCGAAAAATAAAATGCTGATCAGAACTTATCCTACTTATCTAGCAACCCAGAAGATAGTGCTGTCGGTACTTAGATATTCGTAAATAGAGTTCCAAAACCGGATATTTCTTCGTGGCACTAACTGCACCCCGTGGTGGCCGTGTTATCTATGGAAAACTGAATCAATAATTTAAAAAAATCATGGATTAGATAAAACAAGTGGAAGTTCCCCGTGTAACCCGACGACTACAGTTAAGCAAAGTTGTCACTAACTGAAGGCAATATGAGTTTTAACGATTGAAGACGCACGCTCTGTCACACGTCCTCCTGGTCATAAATCCTATTATGACCAGGAAGTATCGTAATTTATGAGTGCAAAAATAATAGCCGAAAAAAAATGTCTCAAAAGGAAGGGTTTCACATCACAAGCAACTGTGTATTTTACAAGATAAAACAATTTTATGAAAATCAAAATAATTATAACAACAGTCAAGAGGTTAGGTTGCCTAATAGTAGACGTCGACGTAAATGTATTGGGCGGATCGGATCACTTAACATCGGGCCTGGCATGTGTACGAGATCGTCGTAAGACTGTATCACAATTCCTTCCTTATTATTTCTACAGGTTGGTTCCACAATTGATTGCTATTCATTGGGGCCCCGGGATCGTTCCCTGTTAACTATTTTTCCGTATCTTGTCAATATGGGTCGCGGAGTTGCGGTGGAGTGGAAGAGTGTCATTCTTATCGTTGTATTAGCTTTGTTGTTCTCTTTTGAGCCCGTGGGTTGTCTACCGCCAGATCTCTTGTTGGCTCATCTTAGTCTTACTTCAAAGAGAAGTAATCACTACGATTAATCACTTCTGATGAAACTGTTAGAACCGCTAGGGTAGAGCGCGATCAACTTCACAAATAAAATATCTTGTATATATCTGTTGTTGTTGTACTTTTGTATTAGGTTATTACATTACATTATCTGTGCGATTATGGTATTTGTATTATTTATTTTAGAGTTAAGTATTATGTACCTAGTTGATAGTTGCATTTTGACTTTTACTGAATAATAGGGAGTAATGTTCTACATATGGACTGCCTTATTTATTACATGCGACAACATTTCACTCAAGTTCTAATATGAATTGTAAACCGTACATTCGGTGATTCTGATTATTGTCCCTGCCCTGTTACAGATATGCAAAGAGAAGCAATCATTTGAGTTTTCATTTGGTGTAGCTGTCTTGTGAACTTGTGGCCTACATTTCAATACTTTAGTTCAAATGGAAGAAAGTCGTGTATTTTTAACGTTCCTTTTTAAAGGCGTGACTTAAAATCAAACTTGTAATGGAATGTTTTCCATCTGTTTATTGGATATATAATCAATAAGAACACTTGTTATGTATACCTTAGTGGAGATTGCATTAAGCGCGGGGGTGCTGTTGACTCTTGTGACCGTTCTATCAGCATGCGTTTGTGGATGCAGAAATTCAAACCAGAAGTAAGTATACAATATGAACATGTGACTAACATTGCATTAAAAAAATCAATATTGTCTGACTTCTACATTCTTTTGTAATATCTGACCATACCATCCATCATTTACTATGTACTTATTTTAAATTACATGGCCAATATTTGTTCAACACAGGTATTTTTTATTAATATTTAAATACAAAGTAATGGTTAGGAAAAATTGATTGAAAAATGACCAAGTAATTTATTACATTTGTATTTTTTTTTTAATTACAAGAATCTCTCGCAAATGAGATATGAATGTCATATAATACAATATAATCTCATACACATAAGAAGATATAATTATTAAAACTTAGTATGTAGGTAAAATATATTTTTTTATTTATTGAAATGGGATAATATTTTAATATGATGGATGGTCTATAAAGTGTTATGATGACTAAAATAAAAAAAATTAAGTAGAACTGTAATACAGTCAGTATTCAAAAACTCAAAGTTATAATATTACTATGTTATATTTAACAGAAGTGAGTTGGTTGGTACGGCGGGTGTGGTAAAAATCCACATAGATGAGGAGGTTCCGTCTCCAACACCAACCACTCCAGCCTCCATCAAGCGGTTTGTTTTAGTTAGCATGCCCTATGTTTCTACTTCATTTATGGGCTAACATAGAGCTAACAAAACTTTAACCATGTAATGAGTTATATGAAGGCTTTACTACCTAATGTTATTTAAATACATTATATGTTTACTTTGTATTTTGGTTTATGATTTAACCCTTTTCAATGTAATTTTAGCTACAATTAAATTTTTTAATTTTAGTGCCCCATAATGTTCATAATATAAAATAAAGCAGTTTGATGGTTTGTTATAATGGCTTAATGGTTTATTTTACTTTGTATTGTCTGTCTCTTTTTTTAAATCAATTTCTTCTTGTATATTTTAAAACCTAAACCTTGTATATTTTAAGCTTTGCTAGCTTATGATAATTGACAGTAATTTGGTAGCTATTTGAATTTACAAAAGGTGTCTTTGAACAATGCTTATAATTATTTACAAAAGCCACAAATGGGATCCATAGTATACATTTAGAAACCCATTTAAAATCTCCTTATTGAAGGTGTAACACAAACTTGATGAGTTGCAATTTGCCTAATATTATGAAAAAAAAGGAAATTGATATAATCCACTATACATAAATAACAGTACACAAAATACATAGCAAATTCTGGGTGGTTCTTATCCCAATAACTATGTGTGTACCAAACTAAATTATGTTGATCAAATTTATGTAATTAAATAAAAAGGCACATCAAAATGTTAAATTAATAATACATAAAAATATAAATTTTTATGGCTTTAATATTTTTTTAAAGGCCCAGACCATATTAACACTGCTTTTGTATTTTTGTAATTTATGTATTTTATAATTAATGTTTTTCTTTATGCATGATCTGTTTAATGTCTGTTTTAAAACTGATTTACTAGAATGTTTAATTATAGATATAAATTGATGGGATATCTAATAGTTTTTGCTCTTGGTAAAGTTTCTAGTAGGCACTTACAAATTGTAATATATAGTAAATTTATCTTTTCAACATAGGAGTTGAAAATTCGAATGACTAATAAGAGTAATGAAATGAACAAGTGCTTCTTCAACTTGATGACTCAATCGATCGTTATTCTATGGCAACATAGGAAGGTCTTGCTAATAAGTTGCCAAGGTCAATATTTTTCTGCGGTATCCGCGCATGCAGTAGTGGGAATTGCGACGATGCATTCGCATCAATATATTCGTTCTTTTTTAAATTCCGAAAAACTATACGGTTTCCCCGTGTCCTGGAAAAATGTGGGCACCGTACTGAACGCGGTGAAAGGTATGCTAGATTGATCGTCTAAATTGACCGTGAACAGTTTCGTTTCATTTACTAACGGCCGGTCTCAATATTCCGTCTACAGATAGATTTGGTTAATGACGAAAGAATTTTTACGTAAGTATTATGGAGCCAATGTCAAATACCTATCGATAGTAACCAAATTCTTCTATCTGCAAATAGAACATTGAAACTCTCCGTAAACGTGGTAAATGAAACGAAACTGTTACATTTTAAACTGTTATACGTTTTTAATTTATATTACAGGGCATCGACGCAAAACTCGCAGCGCAGCTTGCCGGAAATTCCGCATCCCGTCGGAAGGCACGACAGCGGTGACACTGCATCCGAAATATATGCCACGGTTAATTTGGATGAAGGTATGTTATGCACATAGTAATTTTATACTACGTGTTTATTTATTTAAAAGATATTTGCACATCGTACAGTTGCGGACTTACAACATTTGGTGTTACATACCAGTCAACCGATAAGTAAGAGAATATAAGGTGCGAGAGATTTTCGTAGGTACTTAAAGGATGAAAAGAAAAAGTTATGTAAAAAGATTCTCCGCTAAATATTTTTTCGGTGTATATTAACGCAATCAAAGGATTCCTAATCTCAACCAATAATCAAAGTATTTTAAAAATCATGTTAGTTGCGAGAAATAACTTGAGTTTTATCATTTCTCAAAATTATACAATGCTACCGCATTTATCTTGATAATAAGTACATTACATCAAAATTCTATAACTAAAAATATTAATTATTCCATTCTAATTTTATCTTGCCTTTAAATCTCTCTTAAATTATGGCGAAATGATTTATTGTTCCTAGATTTATTACATCTGTAAATATAACAAACAAACATAATTAGTGTACGTTAAGATGTTTTAAGCGAATTAAATTTTCTTCATAAATAGAGTAGGTACTACTTTTTGTACATGCTGCAAAAAAATTGAGCGCGTCGCTGGCTGCTTTGTTTCATAAGAATGATAATATTTATAAAGGGCTATGATTTATATCACACCTGAAACGGATTCTCGTAGACTGTCTACAAACAATAAAGTATAAAATGCGGTTAGCATTGTCCAGGTGTCCTTCAATTTGTTTTTATTCTCGCGATAAATCAATGCTACCGGATTATTGTTGCTAATCTGCAAATCTAATCGCAACTATCTTTATTGTAAGTTTACATGAAAGTGCCGCTACAAGGAATCAACGCCGTTGTTGACGGCTATTATTAATTACATACAACGGTTATACTTATATATTATTATTCTCCTATTGTAATATAAGACAGCCTTTTGTTGTACATGCGACAGCATTTTTAACAAACACAAACAAAATGAAAACCCAGACCCGGAACAATTTTCTGTAGATCACACAAACGCTTGTTATAAAATAACAAGACATATAATGTATTCATTGCACGTCTGTAGGTAACAAAGCACTGACGACAGCGTCCACCAGTCGAGAGCACCCCTACGAACATGCATACGCCAAACTGCAGAGTGAGAGTCACAACATGTGAGTAGCAATTGGAGTAACTATTTCTCAACCCGGTAGACATCTCATGTTTGGACCAACGCTCACAAACAAGCCCATGAACAATTGTGTCGACACGTGTTTTAAATATTTTATGAACGACGCCATTACATGCAACTGTTATTGAATGTCGTTGTTACAATGTCGTTTATCTTGAATATATTGTGTCTTAAATATTTGCGCCATTCTTCTATATACTAAATATATTCTCACAAATAACTTTGAGGAGAAGTTACTATTAACGAATTATTTATTTGTTAAACAATGATAATAATATTTTGTGACCAATTTTTACAGAACACTCTCTAGTCCATCTAGGTAACCGATAAACATACATTCCTTCTGTAAATAAATACATAATATACAGGCTGGGTTTTTAACTCCAAATTATGGGTAAAATCAGTAAGAGAATTAATGACACTTTAATATTCCGTTCCATTTTCTATGACTTGTGTGGGAGAAAAATGCGGCTAAAAGGGCTTACAAACAATCGATCCGAATTGATCCGAGCCCATGTCAGACGCTTCTAACTAGAAGTGAAAGATCGAATATCGAAACACCGACATACTACGTGGGACCCAGGCAACGATCATCAGGGAATCTCACAACTCCTACCGACATTCGGCGCTGCGAGATTCGAATTTGTATCTTACTTTACCAACTAAGCTAAGCGGTCGATGACCTCACGGTGCGAAAATCTCGTTATCTACCTACGTTTATTTTCATTGCATTCTAGTGTGTCATCCCCCTTTTAAAAATTTTGGTTATTTTTTCTATGACGGTAAACGCAGCGAATTACCAACCCGACGTAAACGCGACCGTTCACAAACGTCACAAAGTCCTAATCAATGCGATCGAGGAAGGCGTCATGGGTACGCCGGAACCATCAGCGGTCAAATAACATTTTAGTTCGTCGTCGCTTAAAGGAACCGACACAACGTTGGTTGAGCCGTGCACAAGATACTTCCGCGTTCAGGGCGTGCTCACCGCCCGTACCCAATAATTACAGGCAACGACCACCGGGGTCACGGTCCATACCGAATTTCTATGGCCCGTAGGTGACATAACGCCACCATGATGAGCACATGTACGGCCCTACCCAACGTGAAGAGCAATATAAAACTCGTAGGATCTGGCTATCATGCGAGCTTAGCGTTCGATACAGGCTAAATAGTTTATGGCCTGAAAGCAAAAACGTCAGTCAACATCATAAACATCAATGAAAATAAAGCAGTGTGTAAGCTAGAGCGTCTGGATGGTGATGACCAGAAATTAAACGTAGATTCGATTCCTGACAGCGCCAAAACTTGTTTGACAATTTATATTTTAACGCCCTGCGCCTAGTATAATAATATATGGGCAGCAGTTAATGGGAATCAATCTGATGAAATAGTTTCTTATTATGATTATCACAAATAATAAATTTCACAATAATCCCCAATATCGTATACAGCGTGTCGTTACAACCGCGACAATAAATGAACACACGTCTAACGCTACTTACCAATAATCATAAAAAAATATTAACGTTAAAAAATCCATAATTAAAAAAAATATTTTTCAAACAAACTAATAAAGTTAAAAAGAAACGAAATTTGTAACATCCTATACAACTACAACTGATTGATTCATACATTCAGAGACTTTTTCATTCGTTGCCAGTGTCGCATTACAAGTCTCTCCTTCTAACAGTATGTTTTGTCTCTTTTAAATTCATTCAAACCATTCATATGCGGTGTGACCTTTAAAAATGAATTTTACAGTTTTATACGTAAGGGTGTTCTAAAATTCTTTGTTTTGGAAAATTTAATAACTTGGTAAATATTGATGTTTAAAGAATATAAATGATTGTAAGGACACGCTGTATAATAGAAGAAGACTGGGTAATAAATCTTATTACTTCTTTTTGAAAGTCGTGTGTCAATTAATATTTCCACGACCTCAAATAAGGGAATAAATCAATGAGATGCTAAATATTAAGTATCGATAACAATGGTTTATGGTCGCAATAATCGTAAATGGAAATATGTGCTTGTTCTCGTAACAAGACATCAAACACTTTATGGTTTACAATAAACAAGATGACGTGTTTGTTGTCCACTTACCAAGTAATTTCTAGTAAGTTCGCACGATACTTTTTGCTATTTCTGCTTATTGGTATAGATAATTTTATTAAGAAATTGAGATCTGTGATAATAGTTATACGAATAAAATGTTATATTTTTATGTCTGTCGTCAAAACTAACTTATTGATATAATACTGGCCTACTTATTGATATAATATATAGAACCTAATAACTAGGTTTTGTATTATTTATCACTTATAAACGAAGAGGAAAATATAATTTCTTGTTGGCCAAGGGTTAGCTAAAAATTGTTATTACAGCGTTTTGCAATACTTATTAGAGAAAGATAATTTTTGGTACTAAATTAACTTAAGCAAATAATGCTAGAAATTGGTCCTAAACAATCTTTTTTGTCTTGCAATTCAAAATTGTATATTAAAAGCAGTAAAAAATATCCCATGAAATTGGGGCACTTCTCATTCTCAACGATTGAAAATTAGAGTTAGAAGCTATAATTCCGTCCGTACCCCATTATTCCGTAAATTGTTTGAATTTTAAAATCCACAGGTTCGGAAAAAGTGACAAGAATACTTAATGTATAATTTACAAATAATTAAAAGAAAACTGCCTTTAAAAAATAGTAGTTTAGTCTAGTTTGCTTGATGTAGTGTAATTAGCAAGCACACAGACTGTTTAACTGATGTATAAATGTGGCATCTTTACCATATATGTATAAAACCTATTGAGTACTATGATACCCATATAATACCTGTGGACCTAGTCCACTTCTCTCATCAGACGAAACATAAAAGTAGGTATGAGTAGTTCTACTTCGCGCTGGTCTAATGAGAGGGCATTTCCATCACACAGCCCTAAGCCCTGAACACACGTAATAGGTTTTATTTTCAACACAGTTGTACTTTTTCGCCAGCACCGTGGAGATCACGCCCGACCAGGAGTCTGACAGGGAAATACAAATCGACGAACGCGAAGCCAGCCAGCCGGGTCCAGGTTTGATAGCTTACGATATATTACTCTTGTCGTGTGTGCAAAATGTCCCACACCTCTGGTGCTTTACCCATTGACCTATCCAAAGGCTTTTTTTGATGTGTTGATTTACTCATTAACGAAATTATTTTACGCTCATGTATCAATGGTTTACCTCTTTACCCGATGTGAAATTGTGTAAATTTTTTTTCGGCAAGGAATTTATCGTGATGAATAGATTACAATTTCGAAGTATAGGTTTATCGAATAGGCCGTGTAATAAAATATTAGATAACACGTGAAATGCACGTAATCTACTGCGGCGCCAAATTTCTTATATTTATTTTTATATAAAACAAGTTCCCGCCATTGGCTGTCATAAAAGTTTTGAGATAAATTGATAAACAAAATAATGAAGTTGAAGTTGACTATTGTTTTTGTAGTCAAAAGCTACTTCTATACTGTCTTTTATTCTTAAAATTTTTTTAATACTACATTTTTATACCGTCAATTATAAAACGGTTAAGATTAAGGTTGATTGCATCAAGATAAAGAACCCGAGTAAGAACAGCCCATAAAAAAGTGCTTACGGGCCGATATATTTATCGTCTTTACGATTTTAATGGCCAATAATAATTTAACATTGAATACTATAGGATAAAAATTATTATTAGTGTTGAATTAGTATCGGCGTGAACAATTATTTCATTAACTTGAAATGAATACTTATAACCATTTTTTTTTACAGTTACCATTTTTATGATTATTTCTTATTTTTAGCGATTCAATATGAAATTTACAAAGTGGATTTTCCTATTTATCTCACATTTAAGGCTCTGGTACCAATATAAGAGATCTTTATTTCCAGAGTCCGTGGTTATTTCCGCGTCTGTAGCCATCAGCGGTCAGCTGCCTTCCAGCCAAGAGTTGCCATACATCACCCCTCCTTCGCCGCGACCGCATACAGACAATCCGGTGCACTTTAGCGGCGATTCCACCGACTCGACGAGTGAGGCTCTTTTTTATATTCGTTTAAGTCCCATATTTTTAGACCATTGCCTGACTAAGCTCCATAAAAGAGTCTTGTACATGATAGGTATTGAGCCTGTGTTGCCATCGATACAAATATGGAAAATTCATTATATTTTTGCATGTTGGCAACATGCAAAAATAATTTGTCATTTGAAAGTATTTTACATTACTTTAAAGTAAACGAACGTTACTTTTTTAATTGACAGTATAAGCTCTTTATAATCTCTCCCTTTTAAACGTGTTTTAAAGCGAACAATCACCAATAGACTTTAGATTTTTTAACACTAGTGCTATTATTGACGTATATCTTTATAAAGTTTTTTATAGTGCTAATCTCTGCACTTAAGATTGAACATTAAAACAGCCGTTTAGCTCAGTGGCTAGGGCGTCAGGCCGCGAATGCCGAAGACGTGGGTTCGATTCCCACAGCGGCGAAAATCTTTTCGTACTTTTTCTACATGTTTTAGTATATCTTTATATTCTAATCTTTCAGAGGGCTACACGAGCATTTCGGTGCGGGAACCTTTAAGTAATATCCGAGCGCAAACCGTGAAGCCGCCCATTCAGCCGCACTACGCCACCGTGTCTGATGACTCAGGTTAGCTTTCGGCTTGTCCGAACGTTAACTGATTTAAGTTTTCGCGCCTCAATTGTCAACATTTTAAAAGCCGTTTTTGTAAACTGTGAATGGGGCCACGCAATATAATGCGCAAGCTCGTCCGTTATAGTACCATGGTCTCAGTTAGGACCAGGGTGAAATAGAAGTGGATGAAGTAACCGGGCACATAGCATCAGGTGACCCGACTGTCCTTGACCGCTTCCCAATATTCCACATACAAAAACACTGACAAAAATCTTTAAACCTTGCTCTCTGTCTATCTGTCGGTAAGAAATCGTTCTCTCCGGAACGGGTATGAAGTTTTATGTAAGTCAAACACGAGCTCTTAGCGGTGTTATCCATTTTAGCTTTTAAGTCAATGCTTTCAACAGATACGCCCATTTTATTATAAGATGGAAACGCATCTGCAACCCTACGGATACTGCAAATGTCAAAGGGCGGCGGTCACAGCTTAACATCAGGTGAACCGCCAGCTCGCTTGCCACCTTCTCACATAAAAAACAATGCGCCGCCGTTTGTGTGTATTTTGATTCTCACATAATTCACCTAAAACGCGTAAGTACAATAAATGCAACAAGTTCGTCCGGTCTTCTGTCAAGGAAATTTCCACGTAAAATTCTGCCTTTTTTGTGCAACAGCAGAAGGTGCTGCGTGCTCTGTGCGACTTATAAACAATAATTCGAGGCCTTATGTTTGGTTATCACGGAGATTATGTTAAACGTAGAACACTCGTAGAGCCCTGGTAGCTCAGTATCCGGGCGCTCGCTTTCAATTCAACATACTCGAGCAACCTAATTTCATATACCGGTGACAGCCAGCGCCAATAACTTTGTCAATTTCACGTGCTGCATTATCACGCTCTCAGCGCTGCAGTAAAATATCGTGAAATACCTTGCATATAATAACAAAAAAAAAATATTTCGAAGATGTGTGAAGCTAGTCAATCCGCATTGGGGTCGCGTGGTGGACTGCCTTAATACCAATAGCAATGATTTGTATAGTTAATTTACTACTTTACATTACAACACTTTGACCGAATGGCGTAGTGGGTAGTGTACCTGCCTTCTGCGCCAGAGGGTGTGAGTTCGATCCCCACTACTGGAATATTGTGTGATGAACATAGTATGTTTTCTAGTGTCTGGGTGTTTATAAATTTATAATATGTATTTATTTACAAAAGAAAAGTATGTTTAAGTATGTTTATTAGTTATCTAGTACCCATAGTACAAGCTTTGCTTAGTTTGGGACTAGAGAACGTTGTATAAAAATGTGACCTAAATATTTATTTTAATTATTATTTATTACTTGTTACGCAAGCAGTGATCAAAATCAAAAGCATAAATATTCGTTCTTATGAAACGGTAAAATTTTACATAAAATATCCACCGGTTCGGAAAGCAGTTTCTGTTGAGAAGAAACCGGCAAGAAACTCAACAATTGCCCTTTTCTAAAACGATTAGTTTAAAATATAAAAGAACAGGTCTGTCTTATTTTAGCCTACGTGAGTATCTGTTGATACCCCTGTCTGATATTAACCCCCACATTGGCGTCGTAAAGATATTTCGCAATGGTATAATATGCCTTAGCCATAAGTTCATTTTTAATTTTGCGTTTAAATTGATCAATTGGAAAACTTTTCATCAACTGTGCGATTTTATTATACATGCGTACAATTTGCCCCATGAACGATCTATTTACTTTTTGTAGACGAAACAATGGCGTAATTAATTTGTCCTTATTTCTAGTATTTAATTTTAATTTCATTTCAAAGAAAATTTTAATGTAATTTCTTAAAAATTTAAAGTTTTTCATAGTGCTAATCTCTGCACTTTAGATTAAACATTAAAACATGTAGAAAAAGTACGAAAAGATTGTCGCCGCTGTGGGAATAGAACCCACGTCTTCGGCATTCGCGGCCTGACGCTTTTTTAGCCACTGAGCTAGACGGCTGATTGCCACACCGACGAAAATCTTAACGTCCTTTATCTACAGCGGCGACAATCTTTTCGTACTTTTTCTACATGTTTTAATGTTCAATCTTAAGTGCAGAGATTAGCACTATAAAAAACTTAAAAATATCATACCGTTTCCAGACGAGATGTACGCAGCCATTGATGAGGCGAGCGTCGGCGAGGGATCGGACACGTACGCGCAGATCGCTCCGGAGCCGAGGCGACGCGAAGTCACCCCCGCCCCCGCCCCCGCCCACGCTCCCGCTGCCGCCTCCGCGTCCGCCGCCACCCCAGCGACTGACCATTCCGCCAGGTTAGACAGTGCATCAGGCTATCTTGAAGTCATGAACGAAAAGAAAAACATTGCATCGCTTGTAAATCATGAAATATTATTGAGGGGAAAAAACTCGAAAAAAGACTGTGCAGCGAGCAGGTGGTTCGCTTGATGGTAATTGATTACCGTGCGTTGCCAATCTTTACAAAAGGGGGTTACCTCGGTCGCATATACCATACATTTTGTATTTGAGTCTTCTATGAGTGATTCGTGCAACAACAAAAACTGTCAGTTGGCATTGAAGCACGCCATATTATTACTCTATTGGCCGGAGTAATTAAACTCAGGTAATAAAAAAAAAACATTCAATAAAGTTATAATTAGTTACGTCAATCGTCTATTTTCTGACTGTTCACAGAAGGAGTGCTCCTCCGGAAATTGGCGCGTCTACATCCCACGCGACACACTCCAGACAAGGTAACTTGTTGAATGCAGTTACACTTCCTTCACTATCATTCGTTATTCACAAGGCACTTTCTTATAGAAATGTTGTATGTACACAAAAGGCACATACGAACAATCGAGTACAATACGCGCTCCGAGATCGCTGTTCGGATAATTAACAATGAACACGTTCATATTTGTCCGCAGCGTCTTCGTCGTCGTCGACGGGCGCGCTTGGATCGCCGAAGCCGGAGAAGCGAGTCGCCAACTCGCCACTGCCGCCGCCGCCACACGCCACGCACGCCGCCCACGCCGCCCACGCCGCCCACTCATCCCACGCCGCCCACTCATCCCACGCCGCCCACGCCGCCCACGCTTCCCACGCCAACCACCCTCCCCACCCGCCGCACGTGGCCCAAGGACCACACGCCGCTCACCCGCCGCACGTTGCGCACGCGCAGGTCGTGCAGCCGCAGCGACACCAACGGATATCCAGCACCGGTGAGTCCTAGTCAATGCATTCAATGTACTAATTGCTATTTCTAATACATCCAGTTTGGTGTATAAATTATGTCTCCCTGTAACTACCGCAGAACGACAACTTAAGATGGAAATCAAAATCAAAAATATGTTTGTTCACATAGACGCCTGCGCGTTCTTATGAAATGTCAAAATATTGTTACGAGCTGGGGGTTCGGGATTGGATTGAAAACCGGTCGTTTAAATGTTTACTTTATTAACGGCAACAAAGAAGTGCACAATAAGCCTGACAATAGCGTTCTAGTTCCTATAACTACCACCGGTGCGATGACTCTCCCGTTCCGCACCAATCTCACAGTGACACGACTGCCGGTGCGCTCGCTCTCGCACCCATCTCGACGTACGCGTCCACTGGTGCACGATCCACACGTTCCCGCACCAACCCGCACCGCGTACGCCTTACACTACTAATCACTTCGCGTCACTGTTCACTACTATACTGTCCACTCACTGTTCACTCACTATTACTTCACTTTCCACTTTATTGTTTCTTCTTCCTCTTCCTTGAGTTCCTCCACTGAACTGCCGTCTAAGGCGCTCTGAGCCCCTTTTATACTCGGAATTTCTTTCGTTTTTCAAATAAGTTCTGGAATTCGAAACTTCTTTCAAATTTATAATTATATTTTTAATAATTTAAAAGAACATTTTATACGTCCATTCCAAACTGTCATCGACGGATCGTTGACATTTAAGATGTCAACCCCGTAATCGTAACAATATCGAGATAACTGACTATAGCCACGTTTAAATAAAAATTTTTTAAAAAAATTCCAGGCGACCTACACTTAAATCACGACAAACTTCGACGGAGCCTCAACGAGAAACACCAACGCAACAACAGCTGCGTGAGCTCATCCGATTTTTATGGTTGCAATTATCCAGTCGAGAAGCACCGGTTCAGTTCGGGCGATCTAATTCGGCCCCTGGTCGCCAAAGAACTAAACTTCGATATAGACCAACAAGAGAGCCCCGCGGACAACCTGTACAATTCCATCGAGGGCGCCGGATACAGTGACTACTCGTCGGCCGAACCCAACACTAGCATGAACTCGGAACAACGCGTCACCGAAAGCCCGTCGCGTAACGTGGAAGAGATGTACGCAAAGGTCATGAAGAAAACAAAAGGGAAGGCGGAGGAAACGATAAAAAAACCTAAGGAGTTCCCCAAGGAATCAGACGCCGGACCTTTAAAATACAGAGGTGACGACCCGGGCTACGAAACCATTGACCGCAAGAAATCCACTAGCCACGGCTACGAAACTATAATGCACATAGAACGTACCAATTCGCAAAACCAAGACCCAGGCTACGAGACGGTCAAAGATATAAACAAGTCCGTGTCCACGTTTACGAACAACAACCTGTTGAAGTTGAACAATTTGGGCGACAGCGGGCCCAACAGCATAATAAGCAGCGATCCCGGCTACGAGCACATCACCAAGCCGGACAACAACGCGTCCGATTCCGATCCCAACTACGAAGTGCTGAGGAACCAGCCGCCCACCCCGCCGTACGCCACCATCACGCCCAACTACAAAATACAGCCCACGTATTCGACGGTCAACAAGAGGAACGCGAAGTACAACAACTGGCCAACGAACAACAACGAGGAGGCAACGCTCGAGCCGAACTACGAGTCGATGTCGAACGATCCGCTCTACACAACGGGCAGCGAATCGGATCCCAATTACGAATCGGTCCGACCGAAAGATCCCAACTACGAGAGCGTCAACGCCCAAGATCCCAACTATGAGTCGTTGCGCTGCAAAGACCCCAAATATGAGTCGGTCAGGTCGAAGGATTCGAAGTACGACTCCGTGAGATCTAAGAAAGACCCAAACTATGAAAGCGTCAAATATTTCGAGCTAACGCAGAAGGAACCGCCATACGAAAAGGTAAATACTGACCCCGCCGTCCATTCCGGCGTGGAACGGTCGGATTCTGCGGCGGGCTATGAAAAGATCAACGTACCTATAAATAGGGAGCCTAAAAGCAGTATTAATAGCGGCGCTGACGGCGTCGTCAGTGACTACTTCCAAGTATAAGCCCTAACTTTTATTTATTTCCCACGAATTTGTTTTTAAACAATTAGTCAATATTATTTATGATATTATTTTGTAAGACCAGCGCCCAAGACTATGAGATTGCGTGCGTTTTCTTTTAATTTATTTTATAAACTAAATTTTCGTTATAATATACCAAGTTGAGAGATATTGTGATATCTCTCTCAGGTGTCTGTGATATAAATATTAAATTCAGACCTAGAAATTTAAGATTATTTTTAGTATAAACATTATAAATTTGTAAAATTTTATTTCCGTGTTTATTAACTTATTTTTGTTGGTAATCTCCATTTATAAGCGGTTTCACATTGTATGGCAGTGTACAAAGTATAATGTGTACATAAGTATGTAATGTAGATGTACAATACTATGTAGTGAACATGTATTCATAATATTTGAAGAATAGAATATGCACCCAAGGTGTCATTATGCTCTAATCGAGTTTTTAAATATTTACATGTCCTCCAGCTGAGTTAAGATCATAAAAAGCACAAACAATAATTACTCTATTTGAATCAAGGTTATTTCAGACTTCCATATTCAAAAACGAATTAAATGGAATTAATACTAACTAATAGCTTTAATATTAATTCACTATTACCTATGTCACTCCATCTTCTGATACAGATTCTAAAGTATTAATACATAACTTATGAATACAAATTTATGTTTCAAACGTGAAATGATAAATAAGTAATTAAATAGTAGTCATCTATTTTCATAATTCTCTTCTCTATGAAATTTGCAGTTTACAATAATTTGTTTTTGACATTTTACATGAATGGACACTTATTTGAATTTTCGGCATCGATGACACTATTATTTGGGGAGGGTTATTTTAGAGTAACATTTTTGTCAACTCAATATAAATCATCACGAAACTAGTTTTCTAAAATTATCTAAGACTGCATGGTGTTCCCTATTAAGTGTTAAGATAAGCCTGGACTGAAGTATTTTAAAGTATTGAATTGATTTTACAAGCCACAAAACTATTTTATGAGCTTATACTCATTTTAATCGATTTTGTTTCGGCCTATTTAAACCTTAATGCACGCTTTTGATAAACTATATAAAACGTTTCTAATGCCATAAATTACTTGTTTTTATCAAGTAACACTTCACTTCCTCAATTGTTATTTTCAAATTTACACAAATGTTTTCACTTCATGTGTAACGTTAGTTTTAGGACGTAGTTTCGATGTTATTTTTTATTATATATTTATTCATCTATGGTAATAATTATATATGCCGTTATGACTAACTCACGGTTTTAGAGTCGTGCAATATGAATTAGATCATATTTAATAATTTGCACAACTTACTTGATATATCTAATATATTATAGCAATCGATTTGTCCTCCTCATGCAGTAAGTGTTAAGTTAATGATGGTCTTCTCTATTACAAAAGAATTCGATGATAAAGGTTGATAACATTTTTATTGACTTTGTAAACAAGAATATTTTGAAGTTATACTTCTTTTGGCGCGTTAGGGAAAAATAATGAGAGTAAATTTAAACGATGCGCGCGCACACCGTCATGAAAAACCGACACCCTGAAGATATCGACGTATGTTTGCGTGAGAACTGACAACTCTATTCACGATGTTTATTTTGTGGTATTTAAATAAAAAGTTATTTAACGAGATAATGCGTTATAATAAAACTTTCAATGTAATAAATACTTTTTTCTATTTTTAGTGTCGTTTTTTCTACAAATGTAGTATAAGGCGAAAGATAAAATTTTTGAAAAGATTTTTATGTTATTACGCCAAAGAAGTATAACTTCTAACGCGTGTACATAAGTACACACACACTTTTTTAAGATCATCATTTTTTTCATTTCAAAACAAACTCATTCCAACTATTTGAAATAATATGGATTAGATTTTAAAGTTGCCAACAAACATAACCAATGCTGTTTATTAGTTACAATGTTATTAAGACTGGATTTCTTTTCGTTTTATCTTAAAGTGTTAACTTAAAAAATAATACATTGGTACCCCATCATTATGTTTTGTTATAGTTTATAGCTATAATGACATCACTTTTGATATGCTATAATAGATGATAATTACTGAGGTTATGTATGACTTTGTCATTATGGTAAAAGGAAAGCAACTTATAAAATGGTACCTGAATTATTTTGTTAAAAAGAAACTTTGAAGGTTGTTAAGTTGCACTATTTGCATAAGTTGTGATGTTATTTTTTTAGTACTTACTCAAATAATTGATTTGAATACTGTTTTATTTACATCAATTTGTTATCTTTGAATATTTGAACTTATTGTTTATGCAATACATACCATATAACCACTTATGTGTTTTGACAAATGTTAATGACTTAGCTGCATTTAATAGGTAAAACAAGTTATATAAAACATCTGTATACAAAGTGTGATAGAAACTTTCAATTTACCGTAGTTTCGTCAAAACTCAATGCTATAACTTACATAAATTTAGACACGTTTTAGTCATATTTTAATATAAATCTTAGCTACTATATGGTGCTGTAAATTAATGTAGTTGTAACAATTTACATTACGATAAGTGATATTCTTGAACACCACAACTACTGTAAATATTTTAAATTGTACTCACCGCCTATGTGTAATTAATTCAAGTGGGCATTTAGTATTGTGCATTTTGTATTCATATGATATTTGTAATCATCCCAAAAGTAAAACCATTCCATATTTTAATAAAGCAACCCAGTTCACAAAAATGTAAACAATAAAGTACATATGCAATTTAAAGTATTTATTTTTTTAATTGCTGTTCTGTGTGCTTGTTTGTGTGTCATTTCCGCCCAACCGGGCGTGTCCTACTGCCTATGACACCATTTGTGGCAGATTTCTTCCATTTGGGCACATTTTTCACCTAAATTTTTGCTGTGGCAGATTAGGCAGACGATTAAAAAAAGTGGCAGAATTTAGCAGATTTCAAGGACATGTAATAAATTAGTATATGGACTACTTATAATATTATTAACTTGTATTATGGGGTGATGTTCATTGCATATCTAAAATAAATATTGTGAATAAAAATAAACATATAGATATAAATATTGTATATAGTACATATATAAATAGGACCCAACCAGACGGAAGCACTCGGCAGGAAAGACGAAACGGCCGAGGGTTAGGGTGAAAGGGAGAGAAACCGGCGGACGATGCGGGCGGTATCGAGGAGCACCGCCTTCTGTATTTGAGCTTGGGGTGTTCCTTCCCGGAGTCCCAGTCGCCTCAGATGTCCGGAGAGGCTAACTGGGATTAACCCATTCGCAGACACGACTATCGAGATAATTTCAGTCGGCACACCACCCCACATGTCGGTCACCTCGTGAGCCAGGTCCAGATATTTCGTCTTCTTATCTGTTTCGGCTTTCACTTCGTTTTCGTCATATGGAATGGTAATGTCGACCAAAAATACCCGCGACTGTGCCCGGTCCATCAACATGATATCAGGTTTATTCGCGACAATCGTCCTGTCCGTGATGATGGACCGGTCCCAATAGAGCCTGGCGCGGTCATTTTCGAGTACGGCCTCCGGAGAGTACTTATAGTAAGGCAGTTTCCGTTCCAAGAGGCCGTATTTCAGAGCGAGCTCCTGGTGTAGGATTCTAGCTACTAGGTTGTGTCTATGCAGATACTCAGAGTTAGAAAGCATGGAACAACCGGAGATAACATGCCGAAGCGACTCCCCGGGATGGCGACAAGCTCGACATATGTCGACGGTGCCATCCCTTAGGATGTATTTCCGATAGTTGTTCGTCTTAATAACCTGATCCTGTATCGCACAAACAAAACCTTTGGTTTCCCCAAAGAGGTCACCGAAAGGTAGCCAGTTAAGGGGGGCAACAATATCTACGAAAGGCTCGTGTAGAGCCTTGTAGAACCTCCCGTGGAGCTCTTTCTCCTTCCATACGGTCTCTCGGTCAGAAACGCGCAGTACTCCCATGGCCTGCGTTGCTCGTTGGCTAAGGATAGAGGGGTAAGTCCTTTATCACAACTAATAACGTCCGTGTAGATTGACTCATCCGATCTCGCGAGGAAGTAGTTGCGGAGGCTGCACACCTCACGATTGTGCATGGTGAGGGCGCTCAAAAAGCCCCTATGCCATGCTTCCGCGGCAGGTACAGCCTCATCACTGACGATCTCGGATGATGTATTCTGTGGGACGTCATAGTTGTGCGGACTTTTCCGTCCAGGGCGTTGGGCTTAGCTTGAGTCCACCTGAGTATGTCCAAGGTATACATGAGGACTGGCATGACCCAGCCGTTAAATGTGCGTGCCTTGTTCACGCCTGACCAATGGCTGTTAAACACCTTTGTCAGGCGTGCAAAAACACGTCACGAACTGACTGTTTCATGCCAGCCTCATCGATACACATGTTTTGTGACATACCCAGGTATCGGTATGTTTCAGCCTCCTTAGTGACCTTACCTCTTTCGACTTGGAGGACCGCACACTTATCCGTCCCGAGCTCCATTTTGATAGAATTGTTGAAATCACAAGTGACTTTAAGCAATTCCATCAAATAGGAGCGATTGGAGGATAAGGNGGTCACTTTAGTCCCTCCTCTCCGAAGCTGAAATCCTCCCCCCGAGTCCTCCAGTAACACGCTGAGAGGATTCAGGGAGAGGCAAGACCATATCAAACAGTCTCAAACAGTCGCCCTGGAAAATACCCCGTCGTATCCTTATCTGCTGGATCCGAGAGGATCCTGCCGACACCAAGACAACTGGTGGGGATGATGGATGCGAGGTACTGCTTGGTGGTCGTGCAGTACCCCGCGCTCGGCTGGCGTCCCGCATGCTGCCACGTCCAGCGCCAGCTCCAGACGCGCCCTGGCGGCCCCCAGGCAGCGGCCCTATGCGCATACTTCGGGGGTCCATCATGCATTATATTTTAGGTCGTCATTACACGGAAGACGCCCCCAGACCGGCACCGTTTTCTATAGTGTGGCCGAACGAACAGAG